TCTTAATGACTAAAAACCGCCACTCCGTCACTTCCTATGTTTAACGCCAGATCCCGGGTACATTATTGCGCTTAGCTGCAACTCCAGCAAATGGTATGTGTGACCCATAATTCTCTAGCACCATTTTTCATCCTAAAATTCCATAAGCCTCGTATCAGCTTCTTCAAAAAGTGGATTATAAAAATGTATTGAAAGACATAATAATAGAAGCCTCTATTTTAAACTTCGGCCTAAAATCAATTGTGATAGCATGTTGTGTATGTAATCACTTTTCAATAAAACCTAGCCTTTCAATACGCCTACATGTCTACGTTATATTTGTCGTGTGGGTGTTCTTCATGTGTTGGCAACGTGTGGGATGAAACCTCTGGAATATTCTGATAAAAGTTCATGTGGAAATTGGAAACTGACTTTCAATAGAGTACCTAGATACTGTCATGTATCAACAAAGTTTATGGAGGTAAGCTTTTGACATTAGTTGTTAGGGATTATGTAAATGAGATTATGTAATTATTCCGTTGCCCAAAAGTTCGTATTAATTAGATCTAAATGTTTTCCGGATGTTTAGCCATAGATTGGTTGATTATAATGTTAGTTAGCTATGCTTCGGCGCTGATGAGCCAGCTCGTGGAGTGTACCACGGTCTTACAGAATACTAATGGCGTCAAACAATCTTTGGGTTGTGTTACGCTAAATTTACTGGAAGCGCAATCCTCCCCAATCCAACATTTTTATTCATTGCTTAACCTTTCAACCGTGGTAATTGGAGACACAAGGTGCGCGAACACCGGCTTTCGCTTGGGGTAAGCACACACTTGTAGTACTTGTACTTGTAGTAACTCCTTTGGTATAACATGAGTCCATTGGTGCTGCCGATTGCTTAGAGTCATCCGATTTGCCGACTTATCCCATAAAAAAGGAGATAACTTAGGTCCCAAACCTCTCAATGGTATTGTAGCTCAGGTTTAGATCGATACATTTATTTTACACTCTGTTAGAACTAACAACAACAAACGAAAGTGAATTTTTTTAATAATAAATGCTTCACCTTCAACACAATCCTTTTAAGGCAACCGAAATATTGTTACGCAATATTGTTATCACAAGGAAACTATAAGTATTAGGTACTATTCGTCACAGTTTAATATCAAGAATACACACATAAATATGTACGTATATTATTTAGCCACGTTAGTAGGTACAGTCAGAAGGATTTACTTTAACGACTCCTACAAATAAAATGTCTACAATGCGACCACTTGTGTCAATAAACGATGTCTATCTGAATGCGAAGTGTTCTTAAATGATGGAACTAAGGATTTCGATGTCGAAGACAAATACTTTGTGAATTGTGCTCGAAGTGAGTTGCTTTTTTGTTTTAAGAATAATTGGGTAATTGATGTCGAACTACATATTTATCGATATTAACATGTACAAAGAGCAGATTTTTAAATTCCTGGAGGAATGGGAAACGTAATTAGATATTTTCTTATGTGCTTAATCGTAATAGTATGAGCCAATTATACATCATTAGCGGTCGCCCGCGGCTCCGCCCGCGTGAGTGTTGATTTTACACTTTTACAAGATTTTTTAAAAATGATCTGTACTCACAAACCTTTTCTGGACTTCCACGAATAATTCAAGACCAAAATTAGCCAAATCGGTAAAGGCATTGTTAAGTTATTACAATACAACAAAAAGTGGCTATATATCGATAACACGTATAAAATTATATATTTGAAACACACGGAAAGCCCTATATCAATGGCAACTACCAGTCGGGATGTATAGAAAACTCATTCCTGCAAACCTTACATTCGAGTTTTAATAGTACTCGGATCCCACAATACCTATGATCACTATGCATGCGAAGTGTCGCTCTTCGTTACGAAGAAGAAATACAGTCGCAATAACAACTCCAATTATTATGTCCCTGTAACTTTTGTTGATGAATTAGCAATTGGACTATTGAACGAGATTGGAAGATTGCTTGAGACCCTTCCAACGTCACCTAAGTCAGAAGCTAATGATATTATTTTGGTACGAAAATGTGCCCAAACATAGATGACCATACGTGTAGGCGGGTTGGTTATTCCGAGGGTGGAATTGCTAAAGCACGTGTAATCTGTGATTAGAATTAATACTGTATTATACAATTTGATTGCTAATTTATTTCTGAATGGAACACGTGTGAGCTTGCATAATTTCTTTCTTGTATTACTCAGTTATCTTCACTTTTCAAGGAGACTGGCTATACACCTGTAGTGTTTCTTTAAATTGCAATGAAACCACTCTTTTTGCTTTTGTTTTGTTTCTAGAAACGATGTAGTTTAACGTTCGATGAGATATAAAAAAAAGCATATATACGGTCGAATTGAGAACCTCCTCCTTTTTGTAAGTCGGTTAAAAATGGCAATGCTTTCGACATTATAATATATTCAGGAGTAAATTCGCCAGAGTGCGAAATTCAAATATTTTTTTGTTGTAAAGTTTACGTACTTGAGGATCTAAATTACTTATCATGGCACAATTAGCTAAAAAAATGTTTAGTTGCACCTCGTTATCAGTAGCCTGGTTTGATTCCTGCGATGCAGATACTAAAGCCACTAGAGTCACTGTAGTGGTGATAAAGATGTGTAACCTAGAATAAGGTATTTACTTGGATGGGAACATTTTTTATTTATTGTCATCTTAGTTCTTATTTAAAGATGGCGGCTTTTCGCAGATCATTTATCATTTCGTGCTATTTCACTATAAAACAGTCACTTTCGCTGTTCACGCTGATTTCATGATACGTAGAGATATAGATCCCTACGCATGATGAAATCTTTCAAACTACGCAACGGACTTTGATGCGGTCGAAATTCTAAATGTACCGTGTTGTACTTTGCTTATTAAAAAAACAGTGCTTAGCAGTCGCGCTTACGATCTAGTGCGATTTACTTATTTAATATTATATACATGAAACTTTTGTATACATGCTTGTATGAAAGAAAACTCATAAAGTAGGCGCCGAAGTTTCAAAAAGTACTCTGTATTTGACCTGAAAATGTTTCCGCAGTACAACGTCTCGCTTGCTCTAAAAATAAAACGTAAGAAAGTGAACGCGTTTTGTTTTCTTTACATCAGCTGTTTGTGATTCTAGTGCTTTATTCGATGTCGAGTTTATTGTTATATTTGATAGTCTTTTTTGAGGGTGTGAGTCATTAAATGTCTTATCCCGCGAGAGGAGGGCGAGAGGGAGTGGCAGACTCTTACTTACAGAAAACCCACCCCGTTCTTCTCCTGCTCTCGCTAGTCTATTTCTTGACGCATTTATTGCGCTTGTACCCTCGCCCCTGACCAATATTTGATAGTCAGTTTGTAATACTGTTGAGAGTATTATTAAAAAGATATATATAGGCCTTATTACAATTGCATCGTATGCGTGTAACGTTGGTGCCGCCGTGTCTATGTCACGCGGACTGAGTAGACGCGGCCGCAGTGAAACAATGAAACAATGAATTTATTTTTGCAAATAGGTCATAAAACGGCACTTTTACACGTCAAATTATATGTGAAAAACTAGATGAAGCCGGCATTGCCTATCTGACTACTCTGAGAAGAAATGCCGAAACAAACTCAGAGGTCAGTCAGTAAAGTATGTTTAGATTATCTTAGGGCAGATTTTTCAATGGTTAGATAAAAATTATCAGGTGAATAATTATAATGCTGTCGCGTCAGGATGTTTGTATAAGACAGTGACAGCTACAATTTTATGCTTCAGATAACATTTATAAATTGAAAAATCAGCCCCTAAAATATGGCAGTGCCAAGGATAAGGGTTATAATTTTAAATAAATGTAAGTATAAGCAATTAAAGAAACCATCAACGTATATGTCAATGTACGAACCATATTTTAAAGAAAGTTATTCTTGTGGCAGCATGTTGTACTAGTGCAGTCGTCGAAAAGGCAGGGAAAAGTAAATTATGATAACTATCGATGTTCGCGAATTCAGGCGATTTTGATCTAATCGAGAGCCGTTGTCGTGAACCAGAGATTTAGGCGTCCACTTCTCATGCAAGAAAGTGCGGGTTCAAAACCAACCTAAATGAAGTAGAACAAAAGTACCACTGGCAAACGGTGAAGGGAAAACATCGTGAGGAAACCTAACATTATAATTTCTAATTATAAGTTTGACACGCCTATCTGCCTAGAGCAAGCGTGGTGATTAAAACTCAAAGTTTTTCTGCACTAGAGAGGCCTTTGCTCAGCAGTAGGCACTTGGCTGATACTGTGGTGTATGTAAGAATCACCTTTTCGAAGTTCCTTAAAAAGTAACACTGTTTCTCTCTTTTTATTTATCAGCCATATGACTAAAAATATAACCTCCTCAAGGGTTTGTCTTCCTAGTTTCTATTCGTTTATAGGTACTTATCGACAAAATGTTTGTTGTCATAATATTTGATAGTCTGAAAGGGATGCTGTGTTTGCGTGTGGTTGTTTATATCCTGAGCTTGTTTTCACACGTTTATTGTAAATACATGACTGTTATTATATGAAATGTTGGTGTGTTTATGTAAATGGTACGATTTGGGCAAGATGTTTAATACGAAAAGATGGATGATGTTTGTTTGATAGAGGCGATTAGAAAAATAAGATACATTGTATCGATTATAAATAACGTCGAAGAATACGATTCTAATTTGAGGTATTATAATAAAAAAATTATACAAGGCAATAAGTATGGTTCCTGTTATTATTGTTTTTTTTTTTGTTATGTACATTTAATACATAACGTCTTTCGGTAAAGTAACGAAACCTCTTTTTAATGATGATATTTTTATTTTGTAATTTATCAAATGCAAGTCTTTTTTTTCACCAGTTTTATTGTCATTTCCATGTAAAAAAAGTGTGTTCTATTGCATACTTCTATGTGTACATAATGTTGTTATACTTATTTAGTTTAACATATACTTTATGCCTAATACTAATAAGAGCTTTTTTCTATTTTTTCAGAGGTTCACACAATATCTAGCGTCGAGTAATTCAACATTTCAACTTAGCAATTTTCTAGATAAAAGCGGTGTACAAGGTATGTACAGATATTTTATTATTAAGTATACAAAAATATAAATCAAATTTAATTAAAATACTGCAAATGATGTGTTATACCTAATATTTTAATTACATCGTAATTGGTTAATTTATTAACCTTTAATAATTAGTCATGCATCGAATTGTATTTATACGGATTACTACTACCTTTAATAAGGAAATCATTACGAACATGATAACTAATCAAATTAAGTAATTATTACATTCATCTTTATTTGGAAAATTTACCCTAATTTAAGTGTCATTCGGTTGATTTTTGCTCGAAAAATTAATACCAAAAATCCTATACACTTGCTATTCAAATTCAATCTCTATATCTATGAAATAAGTGTTATAAAAACTTGTTAGCAGTCGATCGCGAAACGTAATATAGAAAACCTCATTCGGTGCTACGTAAATGTCTAGATATTAGTTTAATACCTCGTGTCGCTGATATTGAAGATGGATATCGGATGCGACCTTTCCATTTCGCGTATGGGTTGACTTGTGATATAAATTTCTACCGAGTAGTTTTGAACCTAACTAGATGCGACTGAATATCAATATTGTTACATGCTTGGACGTTTTCATTTATTTATGTATTTGTCTTTCCAACAAGAAAAACAATATGCATATTGCAATATTGAATATAATATGAACAGTAGAATATAAAAAAAAACAATGATTTTCTACACCTACTTATAGAAATTATGAGAGATGATACGAGTTCTGGGTTACACCAAATCTTAGACATTGGGTAGAGAATCGGCTCGGTACAGAAGATAGAGCAGATAGAGATTTAGTCAGTAAGGAACTGATACTCCCTCTCGTCCCACCAAAGGCGGGAGAAGTCACTAGATGGCTCCCTCAAAAATGATTTAGCCTAAACTTTTCTTTTTTAATAAATTCAAATTCAGTCTATGAAGAAAATAAACGTACTTAGTATGATTGCGTTATGAGAAATATTATCGTGCTTGGAATATTAATATCTGTAATATTATTTTACCAATTTTCTTTTTCGTTATAAATTGAGTAGTCACTCTGTTCTTGACCTATATTTAGAGTACTCTCAAAAAAAGTAAACGTCATGTTGTTCGCAAAATAAAATTAATAAAAAAATACAACAAACCACTGCAAATGGTTTGGCGTAACATTTGAAATGTGGTTTGGTAATTATTCGGTTAAGAATAGCGGATTTGTTAAGTATTATTATTCTAATTATGAATCGAATATTAGCACACCAACCAACTTGGGTAATATAGACAGAAGTATGCCATATATGTATATGTTATGCCAGTATATCACCATTCACACTAGGGTTCTATTTTACAGTAATGTCATGTTCCTCTGTATAAGTTACAATACAAAAAAGCCATTTGTCCGTTACCAATTACACGCCAACAGAAATCGATGTTTACCCGTAACTACCATTTCACACTGACTTAATTTGCGGCAGATTCGTGAAGCCGTAGTAATGCGGATGGTGGCCAACGTTATGCAACTATCCATAACCAAGCCGTCTACTACGTCATTATGTAGTACGATGCCAACTGCCAAGTAATCTTGGCGCCCTATAGGCTATGTGTTTAAGCAGTGCTTTGTCTAAATTGGGTTGAATTCTTATTCTGGCGTTTAATAGTGACTTGGTTTTTTGGCCTGCCTTGCGTCTCGGGCGAATCCAAATTCTCGCTTTCGATGTTCGACTTGCCCATTTATAAAATGGAGCAAGGAATGAAAGGACCTGTGGACCAAAAGGTCGCAAAGGTTTTTTGTAAGGGGAAAATCATCAAATGGCCGTAGGTAGGTCGGGAGTGTCAGACTGACTAAAAACATCTGTTCCTTTTCCTGCTCTAGGCCACGGTGCCTAATTGCGCTTACCCCGCAACCCCAGTTGAACATCAGCCCTATAGAGAGAATAATAGAACTGATTTGGAGTAATGTCCAGCTAAACTCGTTCAACTATTACAATAAGTTCATGTCAGTTACATTTATGGAACTCTTTCTCCCCTTGTGTTTTATTATGAGGCAGTTACTCGTACAATGTCAGTGCCAACCGAGCGTTGCAAGTTACAATGTTCCGCTTTGAATATGTAACTAGAGTGTACATATACTTTACGTTGATGATATCGCATCGCATTGATAGTATTATCCAATGAAAGTCGGTATATTATGTATTAGACATAGTAGAAAATACATTATCGTGGTTCCACGTCTAAATCTCACGAAAGGTCTCTTTGACACGTCTTCAGGTTCTCATGAAAGAATTCCTCTTTTATGTCTTATCTACATAATAGAGGTATACTTTAGCATTCTCAAATTTCCAAGAACTTGGTGACATTGTCACATGCTGACTTCGCCACGGACTCCTGCGCAACGTGTCGCGCATTCGGTTCCTAAACGGACTAATTATTTTTGTAATACACAAAAATGTTAAATTATTATACATGATACATAGCTTGTTTGTTATAACACAGAAGAAAATTATAATGACAACATTTATTTATAAGATAAGCTTTTACGAAATACGTTCCTTATTGAAACCTCTTGGCATTAACACCTAAAATCACGGAACTTAATGGCCTAGATCTTAGAACTATATTAGTCTAGCGTAACCTAAGCGTATCGGTTACGTTTCGTTGACGTATGCATGTGTATTCTATACGCGACGCTATGACCGGTGACCTTTGAGGTCAACGACACCGCGGCCTCTGCTCACTGTTATGAATATTTTTATAAGCAAGTATTTTTTATATTAATCCCTATCTATGTTTTACGTGTCATATACACATTGTATCTATGTTATATTATTTGCTATAAATGTAGATATGATTGTCCGTGACTCGTTTTTTTCGCTATGTTGTAAATTTATTTTTTCGTACCTATTTTATTTATTTTGGTATATAGTATTGTGGTCTTGTGATGTCCCAGCTGTCTTAAGTTTTCTTCACAAGTAAATTCGGCAATAGTATAACGATATATTAATAGAAGCGATCTAATGAAGTTGTTTTTTTCTCTACTTAATTTTAATCTGTATTGTTATTGGGTAATTATTATGATAGTATTTTTATTAGGACAAGAAATATCGTTTATTGTGTTGATTGGTTGTAAATAAAACTATTTATTTTTATTGAAGTTATTATTTTCTAGGAGAATAATTATTAATTAAGTATTTAAACGCCTCGTTGGTTAGTTGGTTGCTAGTGCGACTGCTAGATTCCTGGCTCGTTGAAAGTATATTTGGAGAATTGTTTTAAAATCAAAAAAATATATTTTATCGATCTGGTCACACCATTTCACAGCTCTGGTTTAGAAACGAAATTTAAAAAAGTACGTGCGTCCTTGGAAGCGGTTAGATAGGTGCATCATACACACACACTCTAAGCCACACTTTTACGGCCATGTGTAAATGGTTGGGGAAGCATAGAATATGTAACTTATAGCTCGGTTTGACCTGTAACTCCCTGACCTAGTGTAGTAGGAAATAAGCCGGTATTATGCAACTTTGCTCTACTTTATGTTATGGCTAAGCAGTATTCTGATTCTAAAGACAACACAGAATGCATAGTGGATGACCAGGTCACCGACTGACGTGTCGCGGGTTCGATTCCCGCACGGATTAATTGTTAAGTGATCCACATATTGTTGTTCCGGGCCTGGGTGTGATGTGTATATGAAGTTGTATGGTTGTTAATGCACCCACGACACATAAAAAGCCAACGGTAGGACTTTCTTTTTATAACCAAAAGTCATATGGTTAGGCTCACCTGTGGAAAGGTGAGAGACGTCCCAAGAAAATTTGAATAAATTGTGTGAAAAATGATATGAAAGATGAAGGAATTTGTGAGACAATGACCCCCGAGTATCTTAAGCAATTAAAACAAAAAAAAAACTGATTTTGCTTTTCATTGTGTGACTTGTCTCAGAAGAAACACATTTCGTTTTAATTGGCATAAGTAACATAAAATATTACAGTCATAAAATGCTGTTTGTCCCTACTCCATATTTACACCAATGTTGCATCCTTAAGTAAATAAATGGTTAACAGTAGTATGGTGTTATTGGCTCCCTGGCGTTATGCCAGATCCTAGCAATGGCCACTAATAATTTTAATACACCGTACAATCTTCTCATATTTCCTTATACACAATTTGACCTCAACAACCCTTAAGGCTACTGATTTTCACACCATGATAATAAACGCGGATTTAATTACTCATTAACCTTTCTGAGTAGCATTATTTTGTAATAGTTTCGTTAATTATCTGTGTGACAGATGAGGCATTGGTCTATGGGAGTCTTGCGGTTCTCAATGTTGCAACATAAGTAGTGGAGTTTTTTTTAATTATGTATTGGACGGCCAACTAGCAGATTGATTACCTGATGGTAAGCAATCAGTACCGCTCATGGACACTAGCAACACCATATTAGTTAGGATTGTATTAATTGGGTCTTGTGCGGATTAGGTTAGGGGGATTTAGGAAATGGAAAGAATTTGGTGGCTATACGGAAAGCAAATTGGGTAAAAAAACCTACACATGTATTTTTGTATTTAACGTTTTCTGTTTCTATGCCATTACAGTTCTATTTTTTTTTGTTTATTTATTATTTACACATCACACATACAGTAAATAGGAAAAAAAAATACATAAAAAAGAGGTACATAGGTACTGCATATTCCTATATGGAATCTCTTCCTGCAGTTCTTCTTAAGGAAAAATGTAAGAGACATAAGACAAAATAAAACAACAGAAGAAAGATAAATAGGCAATAACTAAGCTTAGATTTAAAATATGAAATATGATAATAAAAGTACTACTACAAACTACATATATAATACTGTCTTGCTATGCACAGTTACTATTTTGACTGCTAACTGCTATAAAGCTATTGTGAAAATTGATGACGAAGATAAATAGGGTTCTGACCCTTTTTTGAATTTCGTTGAAAGGAAATTGTCTTTTAACGGAAATAATGGTCTTGTAAGTTATCATTAAGGTTTTCATACTCAATGATCTTTTTTTATGCCTATATTTATGCGTACTAAAATAAATTCGTACTATTACAATAGTAATAAAATATACTGCAGTTACGACTATAATATGAACGAAAATTGTAGCTATGACTAAGAAAATCCAATCTCCTATGACGCATAGAGGAGTCAGTGTCCTTAAAGTTTGTCCCTAAAACACACTTGTGGCGTCGGAACGTCCCGACGCTTATTATATATATAGGTTCGTCAAAATGAGGTTCACTCTCAATAGTTGTCTGGTGCTTATATTAAAAGGAATATATTATTTGTATGTAGGTCGGAATGGAAGCTTTGTTTACGTTTTTGGGTTAATGATAGCCTACAATGTTATTTGGTTACGGAGACATTGTATGATAACTGTGCCTACGTAAGTTGAACCATAAGTTGGATACTTATGTAGAAGAACTCCTCAAATATCTAAAAATCCATAAAAGGGTGATAACGCATTCGTAAGTCATTTGATAATACAGGTGTCTACGGGAGGCCACGATTGCCGACAATTGATTTGATCAGCATATTCGTTATCCATGTCAATCACATTTTCAATATGTAAAGCTTTTCAACATTTTTTACATACATCAGCATGTAAAAATATGTTGAAAAGCTTCATTGGATGGGCTCCTTAGATTCTGCTGTATTTAAAATAGGTACTTCTTTTGAATTAAAAAGCAGAATGGAAAACATAAAAATAGGTCACCAATTTTTTTACTAATAAGCTCTAGGTACATCTAGACCTCGGTTTGGTGCATATAGAATTATTTTAACTTATAAAAATAAATACCTAATCAAGAATTCATACACCTACTTAGAAAATAGTGTATATTATAACACATCATTTGCAGTATTTTAATATGTATTGACAATATTTATCTATAAGTTATCGCATAAAATGCATGTTACAAGCGAGCATATCTCTGTATCTGGTGATGATATGCGTGACTAAAACTATGTAGGTCTGGGTAAACCATAATATTATCCTTATCTAAATAATTACGTATTCGCTTCGATTTATTAATTAATGTTTAGCATCCATTGATAAATCTGCGTATATGGTAATGTAAACGATTGTGGCAGAGAACCAGCTACATTGTATATTTACGTTGTATTTAATTAAAATATGTATTGGTAATATTTAATAGGTACCAATTTCTTATCAAACGATAACTAAATCCTATTAAAATTTCATTCATGAAGAACCTTTTTCGGTCCCATTACAAAATTGTTCCTTGTAATATATTTCATATTTTATCTGTGCCCTATTTGACAGTTTTGTTTGAATGTTGCCAGTTAATAAATAATTTGTAATAGACAAATCGATTTCGAGTTACTTAGTTGAAACTGTTTGATTTCATAATTAGAGATGTAAAAAATGGTATCATTGTTTCTTTAAATTATGAGCTTAACTCTGTCTTAGGATTTTTTCATAATCTATGTGTAAAATATGAACTTGTTCAATGTTCTTGGTGGATGCTGTTCATGTATTGCATCGTCAAACACAGCAATGCCCCTGTCTTGAGCACTTAGCACTATACAGACCGCACTGGTTGTGAAACACCAACATACATATCTCCAATATAGAAGTTAATTGGACTTCTTATATTTCCTAGTTTTTAAACTTCAATAATGTAATTTATTTCGTGAAATACAACTGTCTAACTGAATTTAATTTTCCCTAATGCTTGGCAAGGCGCGGCCGGTGCCCGGATTGGTGAGTTTAATTATAAAATGGCGGCTTTTGTAAATGTCTGTCCGTCTGTTCACGTGTCGTTAGCTGTACACGCTTGGATTGGGTGCAACTTTTTTTCTTTGTTTATTTTGCACTGTTTCAGATTAGAAGGCTTGACTTGAAGCACTAGTTTTTTTCGATTACTTTTTCTCTGATTATGAAATATTACAATATTGGGCTAGCCCTCTTAGGCTTGCAACCCTATTTATGTCTATAGATATCATTAGTCTTTTTATTTGTTCGTAGGCATGTATGTGCTTGCAATATCTTTTCTCGGATACGGTATAACAAGAAAACACGATACCGATGAATTGGGTTAGATGATCTCATTTATTTTTTAATATTTTTTTTTTACTTAGTCGTTCTAATTCTTATTTCAATTTAGATTAATGTTATCCTCCTTTATTAGTTCAGTTATATATTCTGAACGTATTGCAATAAAAAATCAATAATTATTATACTTATTCAACTTTGTTGATAATAGAATGCACATTGAGTAATAAAAGCAGCAATTAAATATCACAAATCACTTAGTTATAAATAATATATTAATGAAAATAACTCATTAAATGTGACTGTTATAAGTTGACTCAACTCATTCACGTAGGTAGGTCACAGTATATAGATAATTTTTGTTTTTAATTATTGCACATTAGTACAATGTAGGTTGGGGTGACATTCTTATTTACAAATGAATAAAAATATTATGAAGTACTCCTTTAAGTTTCTTTATCATTTTAATTAAAAAAAGCAATTCTTAAGTTTTCTCTCTTATAAGTAGCCCTGTAATGTAAAAAAACTTTAAGTGGTAAAAACTTTAACATCTGGACGTAAAATTTTAGATTAATCGAAATTTTTAAGTTGCCCTGGTTTCCCTTCACCAAGTCTCAGTGGTGTCTCAATTAGAAATGTATAACTAGGAAAAGCAACCTTCTATGGCATTTCTTCATAAAAAGGTTTACTTTGGTTTGATATGTGAAGCAATAAAGAATGTCACCCTACAATGCACATGCTCTCTATATCGTTGCATGATTGTGTTTTAATTTTTTATTGTTTTAGCTTAAGCATTTGCAAGTAATGTCCATGTTTTGTTAAACAAAGCATACATGTTAGCTTTATATGTTGTGACAATTGTTCAATAGTAAAAAAATGAGTTTTTTTACATTTATTTTCTGATTCGAAAAAATCGCCGTTGTTCAAATCGGCATCTAGAGGGGAATCGACAGTTTTTTTTAATGCTGTTGCCCTCAATATCTCGTTAAAGGAGATACGCCGTTTTCAATAAATAAGAAGAAACCGAAAATAAGTGTAATAATCAAAATGCTGTATGTGTGTGTGGTTTGTTAGACTTGACAAGCCTGTTGAATTTTGAGCATAATTGTCATTCACAAAAACACCATCACATTTTACAAAAAATCACAAAGCACTCTAATTATGTGTAAGTAGTTATAGTGAAGTTTGATAATGATAGAAATATTGTAATATATATTTAGAGGTGTTGTGTGTCGGATACTTAACTTTGGTCAGAAGACACCTATAATCCAAATACATATAAATGAAGGTTTTCTTGAATACTTAACACCTATTACACGTATCTACACCTATTCAAGATCACCTTTGTTTAACCAAAAGGCTTTACTTAAAATTAAACAAGCCTACCACTCTCAAATTCAATTTTGAATGACAGACAAATGTAAATTAATGTCTATCAGCAAATCTAACTCACTATAATGACTAACATATAATACACATGCATGACTCACAATCCTCACTCGAGAACAGAACCTGTTTTATTCAGCTTGTCTGTCCAGGATATGACATGTCCCCGTTCATCCGGCGGTACGCCAAGTACCTCAATGAGAAGGCGCTGTCCTACAGGACTGTGGCCTTTGACTTCTGCAAGGTTAAAAGGGGGTGAGTACTATGTCCTTTGGCCTTCGACCTTGGACCTTCAACCTTTGAAGGGTTTTAGAATGACTTTATGATTTAAGTTTTTGAGGTGGACATACTCCAATGAGTTTTAATGCTTTCTCACCGTTATACTATTTATATTAAAGGGTCTAGTCGGATGAAAAGGCCTTTTTCAAGCAATGTGTGTGGCTTATAGTTAATCATAATTGGTTTGACTAACCAAATAAAGAGTCTATTTCTCTTTGTGACCGAGCATAAAATTATCCAGGATTAATATGGAAATATAATGTGATTCAGGTTGACTTTCTTTAATAAAACCATTTAAACTTGTGGCGACGCACATAGTAACGCCAATATTTAACAGATGACTTTACAAGTCCCACATTATGCAAGTCATGTTTCTGTGTAAATAAACATGGATAGAAAATCCTAATGTACAACTGTTGGTCAGAAGCCCGCCAGGCCGATCACCTCGCCTGGTCCTCCTCCTTTTCCTATTTTATGGATCTTTACTCTATGTTCCCAAAAGAGCCTCTTTATGAACCATCAACAATGCAAATAAGTATTTTTTTCTATTGATTTCCATTTAAACCACATACTTATTACTCAGCAACTTTGACTAACAAACCCTTCACCGTTACTCCTCAGTAAGGAAGAAGGATCCCTCCGTATGATGAACGCGGAGAAGTTGCTGAAGACGCTGCCAGTGCTGCAGGCGCAGCTGGACGGTCTACTGGAGTTCGACTGCACCGCTAACGATCTCACCAATGGAGTCATCAACATGTGCTTCATGTTGCTCTTTAGAGATCTTATCAGGTAAAAATGAGAATCAACCCTTAAAAATTAAAAAAAAATATGGATATATGGTTACTAATGTTTCTTTAACTAGTAAAGTAGGTATTCATCCAAAGCAAAATCTAAATGCGATGCTGCCAATCATCAACGTCAGCCCTGGATGGGAGAAACCATTTTATTATTATCTCCTCACAAAATAAAACCCGCATTCCATCTTAGTTGTGCATATGCCTCTGCATTATTAACAGAGGTGCATTTATCTATAGAATATAAAATTATTAGTTAAAAGCTTAATCCTGTAACTATTTGACATTTTAGTCAAGTAACTCGACTAGGTTCAAGCCACATCGGGGCTCATAGACATGAACAGTATTGACCGAAACGCGCCCCTGACATAACTTACCTCATCAAGCGTAATAATAGCAACTACAAAATAGCTTTAAAGAGAATTATGGTACAAAACTTATTGAATATTATTCCCACCAAATTAATATTAACATGTGAACATTACAGATTGTTCGCATGCTACAATGACGGCATCATCAACTTGCTGGAAAAGTACTTCGACATGAACAAGAAGAACTGCCGCGAGGCTCTCGACCTCTATAAGAAATTCCTCATCAGGATGGATAGGGTCGGAGAGTTCTTAAAGGTAAAACTATAACATTATGTAGGAAACTAAGAACGTAGTCCTATTGGTTTGCAAGCGTAGTCCAGCGAGTAACTGAGATCAACGCATAACTTCGACCACAAAAGGTGGACGGACAACCTCGATAATGTCGGTAAAAACTCCCCAATATAGGCCGCTTCCAACAAGTTGATGTGAAACTCGGTTGGGGAGTTTAGTAGTGGAAGTCTTGTTACTAGTCAAGAACTGTGCGATTTTGGCGAAAGTTCCTGCTTCGCACAGCAAAACTTTGGAAATATCTTTCGCCGGCCTATAAAACTAAAGAACCGCGCGTACTCCTTAAAAGTCCGCGTTGCCTTTGTCCATAGGCGGCGCTGATCACTTACCATCAGGTGATATGTCAGCTCGTTTGCCTCCTATGACATAAAAAAGATATGATAATCATAAGCGTAGTTAGTTTTCTAGGAATCTAAAATACGACGTCTAAAGAACGACATTTGATTAAATGTACTTAGATGTAAAAATCTAGAGACGAAACAGCCACTGGTTACTCGATATCACGACGTAAAGACGAGTAAATAAAGTCTAAAACTGATTTTCCGAGTTCAAATAGTATTGGAAGCTTTGCTCGAATATTGGGATTCCCTTAATTCTCAGAGAAACCGCTATTCATATGAATGAATGTATGAGCAAAGCGTTGCGTTACGTCAAAACATAGGCATATTATACCTACCTACACAAATAAGTACATATTAGCAGTATGTACCTATTACAAGTATTGTTTGAAAGGTGGGGCGCCACGTAATTGGCTTAGCTTGTTTACAATACATATAAATTACAGGAATGACGTAAGTGAACATGTGTGTTGCCAACGTAATAAAATAAATGTTTATTTGTAAATACCGATACTTCTTTTTATCACAATGTCAAGGTTGATGAAATATGAAAGAAAAATCTTTCTAAAACCTTTTTAGCAATTTTTTTTTTGTTAGAGGGTACCGTTCTTGCTTTTAATAATTGTTAATTTTAGGTATCAAGATAAATGTTTTCTATATCCATTTTTACACATATCATTGTAGCATACAATATCAATCTTATTCCATAGGTGGCAGAGAATGTGGGTATAGACAAGGGAGACATCCCCGACCTGACCAAAGCCCCCAGCAGTCTCCTGGATGCCCTGGAGGGTCACTTGGCCTCCCTTGAAGGCAAGAAGGGCTCCGCTGCCAATACTCCCACACAAACCGCTAGGTGAGTGAATGTATTCGAGAACTACCTTATATTTCAATAATATAAACATAAAAATAGACATGAGTCCCATGTTGTATGCTGAAGAATTTTTGGATTCCTAAATATAAATACGCTAAATTAAAAATTTCTTAATCAAAGATTAATAATTTCTCATTTCATCTATTTGAAATTATTTATGAACCTCTCAAAGTTGACTTTTGGGTTTGTAAGGCCTTACTGACTAGAAACCATCACTCAAGGTCACGAGACCACAGTATTTCGGGGCCATGGTAATAATATAGTTAGCCTAGCTAGCATCTCTAAGTTGAGATGAGACTTTGACTCTTGTGTCAATACTCCATTACAGTCTCAACAATAATGATAGTATATCCACTAAATGTTTCCACAACTATTCCAGCGCCCAAAAGAACGTAGCAAGCGTGATGGGCGCTCTATCTTCCACATCATCATCGTTCGGTAATGCGGCCGCGTCCACTCGGTTGGACAACCAGCCCAATGGGGCCTCGCCACTCTTCATAGACGACACCCTCAAGCAACAGGCCTTAGCTGAGGAGGAGGCCGCTATGAACCAGTATAAGGTAAGAACACTTATTTTTATTATCTTTATTGTAAAACTATATTAAATAAGACATTTAATGACTGGTGTCCAGTATCAGAAAAATATTTAATGGCCAGGGAAGTAAAATTACTGTCATGACTGGTTTGAAGTGGAGAGTAGTCTTCTAGAAGGAAGAATAGAAGATTTCGAAGTGACTTTGACCATTATAAGAAATGCTCAGTTTACAACTACTTGTTTGAAGTGTAGGTTTTTGTATGCTTAATTTTAATAATAAGCATAAGGTTTCCTTTTTTTACATTTCGTAATCTTAGCTTAGTTAAATATGTAATTGACTGCATTTCTCTGCCGCATAACCAAACTGGTCATGATTGATATTTCAAACTTTTCCGTGCTTTTAATACCAGAGGAATATAAAACAAATGTAAATATGCTTCAAACAATAATTAACACAAATACATCCTGATCTATGTAATCTTAAACATATAAAGTCAATAAGAAAACAATATTCAAGCAATAATATTGTCTAACCTCCTTACTCTAAGTACGAAAATCCAGTGAAAATCAATTATTACAATTTGTATTAATTCTGCTTACCTAACGCCTAGGGTATACGAAGGTGGACCACTAAAGGAATATTAGCTAGGTGTAACATCCAATCTGCAGTGAGTTGTATATCATAGAGTGATTAATAACGGGGTTGGATACAAATCATTAACTAAAACAATGTAACAGCATGTCAACTCAAATCAATCGAAGAGTGTACTTGTAACTGGTAAATAGGTTATTTTTTCTTTTTATAAAACATTGCCCCACTCTAGGATTGTCTCCTGTGCCGTGCGTGCGTTCACAAACATATAAAATAATATAAATTCACGTACACATCACACCCAGACTTTCTCTGTAAGTGTAAAGCGTTTCCTTCTCGATTTACGCGGCCATGGGTTAGTTTATCCTCGCCGTCAAGCGGCAAATCTGCCGGGGTGGGGTAGAAGCTTCAGATTAGGGTGGATATAGTGGCTCCATCCCAGGTACTACTTCACTGTACCTACTCTACACTTAGAAACGGACCCCAATCGCACCCAGACTTGAATTATAATTGCTATGTTAAGGATTTGGATATAAGCTTACAAATTTCCAGCCCAATCTACTGAGATATAAGAGAAGCAAACAATTCCTCATCTTAATGATGATGATGTAACATTTATTTCTGCTGATAACGGCGTATTAACAGAAATAAATATTATTGATGATTTATATTAATGATAATTCAAGGTACACAACAATATAATACCTAGCAAACCTTGAAACCATTTGTTGCTTAATTTCAAATTGTGACTTGTTTCACCTAACCTAATAGCCAAGATTATAGACAAGCAGATACGAATTCCATATTGCATATATATTGAGTTGCGCGCATCAAACATCCAGTAGACCACCACGGATGGAACCGCACCCTCGGTCTGGAGTAAAAGAAGGAATGGGATGTTTTAGTCAGTAAGAGTAATTCAGTCTGACATTGCCTCTCGCCTCTTCCTGGGCGAGACAAGTAAGCTGGATACTGAATTCCCCATAAAAAAAAAAAAATTCAACCAACATGGCCGCCAAAAACGCGCACCCTTTACCACCCACAAATCAAGTATCAATAATAGGTTTAAAATAAATATTTCAGGTTCGCTTGTACCAAGGGGAAGAATGGACAGGCGAGGAGGATATTTCTGAGATAGTAGTAAGATGATCAGGGCACTATGTGTTGCTTAGGGCAAGGGCTTGGGGACTCTGTCACAGTATCTGCTGTCGCCTTTATCGATATATCATGTCGTTATGTTCAGATGGTGATGTATGTTCTGTGTGTGTTTGTACACTTGGCAAAAGATTTGTAACACTCAATTCGCTATGCTAAATCTTAAAAAAATATAATTAAAATATATCCTATATAGTTGTTTCTTAATTAGACTTAAACAAATTAGACAAGCGATTATCAATTCTGTGAATACTGCATAAATATCGATGACTACTGTCGCGCGATTTCACCCGCTGTTCGGCTCCATTTAGTCGTAGCGTGATGTTTTATAGCCTATAGCTATCTATCAGTGAAAGAATTTTGGAATTTTGGACAAATTTTACCTCTTTATAATATTAGTATAGATATTTTTTTCCTATATGGTGCGTGCGTTGACAAATATACAATTTCATATACGCATCACATTCAGACTCGGAAATTTACTATTTGGATCTGACAAAGGTTTGTTCCGTACTGGAATCGATTTGTTTCACGGCAGCCGATTGCCCACCCACCGCGTTTATCATTCAGGTAGCTTTTGTGATGAGTCTTCAGTAAACAAAAGGCATAGTATGTATAAAATTGAAACGATAATATTTTTACCTTAGTAAATTATAGGAGAAAAAAGACATTTCTTTGCCATCTGTACATTCGATGCACAACATAAATTGTATGTATGTATGTACGTTCGAGCTGAAGGGTATATTATATGCTGTTATTCTATCTATATACATTTGTGAATGTCACCAATTTGAGGGTTATCACCACATCGCGGCTACGCGGCGGCAAAGGATTGTGATATGTTTTTGAAGGTTTCAACATAGTAAGAGAATTTAGGGGCATTTAAAAATAGACCTTAATAGCCCTTTGTATAGTACTATTTTGTATTATACGTCTTTGAACGAAATTTTAATATGGCTGTATGTATCTACTGATATTAAGTTCTGTTTTACAATGCCTCTAAAAACTTTTATGTTAGTCATTAAATGTGGGAGCCATCACATTATGTGTTTTAATGAGATTTTTATCACAACACAATTCATTCATTATATTACTTGCACATTGTTATCCCATATTGTAATGTCAATCATACAACATATATTTTTTTGTCTCTGTGTAATAATATATTTATGTTTATAATACTCACATAGTTTAAATATTTGTTATTTATCTTGTCATACATACATATACATGATATGCACAAAAAAACACAAATAAGGTGATTTTAAGAAAGGAATACGACATCTTGAGGATATGAATGTCAATGACGAAATTGCAATTTTATTACGATTCTAATATGGTTGGTTTTAACTTTTTATTTAAAATAATAGCTTATTTTTCTACATTCAAATCTCAAGTTCTATAAAGGTATAAATTAAGTTCATAATTGCAAGTCATTGGCCATTCTTACTACCACTCATAAACATCCAAACACATTGGTGACGGTTTACCCTCACTCGAACTAGTCAAAAACTAAAAACAACCTTTATCATTCTCAGAATAAGGTGCAGTCTCCGACGAATGCGGCTAACAACCCGTTCTTGTCGTCTGCGCCAAGCCAGACTCAGTCTATTGTGGACTTGTTTGGACCTACTCCAGCTGATACGGCTAGTACAACCAGCAAAGCTTCCGATGATCTACTGTCGCTTGGAAACCCATTCGCTGATAATATGTTTGGAGGTAAGAGATGGCTATTTTCAAGTAGATTTCTATCTTCAATGTCCAAATCGCTAAGCGTGGAGATTAGGTTATACAATCACGTCTTTTCTCAAGCTCAATTGCAGTTTATGAAAGAGAAGTTGATAAATTAATAATTACGGTTATACTGTACAGACAGTGTCTATACTAGAAAATGAGTCTAAATACTGGTTTGGTATTCTTAGATTTATATGCGATATTGTTTAAGTAAGTTAATTGATTTAAAAGTTTATTACCGAAATAATTAAAAAAACAATGATTTTTAAAAAAAAATATTATTGGAAGGTAGTGTAAAGTTACCATAACAGTACCAAAAACATGTCTACAGAAGTTTGTATAGACATTATTCCGATTTAGGATTTACATTATACACTTAAAACTAATTTAGTAACTAAAAATCTAGAATACAACTAAGCTAACCGACTAAAATTAGAGCTCACAATACTAAAACTATTGTTTGGTAAGTGTCAATTAATACTGTACATTATTAATTTTCTTTCTAATTCATAATTTTAGTCGGACATTTTATGAGGAGAAAGCGAATTACAATTGTTTTTCAAACACTAGACAAACATAAATAAGCAAATACAGGCTACAAATCATTATAAAAAAGAACGTCTTTGTTAGAAATATTCACGATTGTAAATAATCTGGTGCTTGTAGAAGTATAGGAAAATTGGGAAAGCACTACACTTAATTAGACCCTAGACCCTTCACACTGTATTATAAAAGCACATCCCTTAGCTTCACGGGGATGGTCAGAGCACTATACACCTTATCCACACACACCTAAAGTTGAAAGTGGTAAGTCGCCACAACAAACTGAATACCGATGCAGTACACGAACAAAACTCATAAACTCATTATCACAGAGAAACTTTTTATCTGGTTAATAAAGCCTGTAAGACAGATTTCTAAACTACAGTTGTCATGTATGGGAAATCAGGCCTAAATTACCAGCTACAAAAATTGATAGTAGAAAAAATATACCATTTTGGTAGTACTGCATTGTTATTAAGTGCGGCAACACTTTTAGCGGCGCCGGTGACGAGCACGCCGATGTGGCCACAACAACAACAACAACAACAACAACAGCCGAGCAACGGCTTCGCGGCCTTCCCGCCTCAGCAACAGAACAACTCCTTTGTGTCCGAGGCTAACTTCTCTAACGTTTTCGATAACACTGATTCCGCAGGTGAGCTTCCACTTGTAGACATTGTGCTGGGGTTGCCGTGCTATTTCATTGTACTGTATTAATACCATTTTGAAAATAAACAAGTTATTGTTTAATGTTTTTAGGGATACCAAAGGTATAGTATATTAAAAAGCACGACAGTCCAAACCTTGCTTAAATAAAATCTATTTCTGGTGATGGGAATACTTTGTAAATTCTATATATTATGTATAATGTATATCTTGTTTAAAATGTCAAATGTTTCTTGTGCAAGCTGCCGCGGCTAATCCGTTCATGGGTATGGGAGACCTCACCCAACCAATCTCCGCATCACCCGCCCGTCCCCCTCCTCCCACCATTCCCCCACAGCCCAAATCGGCGTTCGACGACCTTGAAGATGTGATGCGCATGTCTCTGGGCGGATCCCCGGCTAAGTCTCAGCAACCAATCACCCAACAACCGCAACCAATGGCGGCGCAACCTTTCAGTGACGTCATGTCTATGCCGATGGCTCAACCAATGATGTTCGGCTCGCCCGCCCGACAGCCCATGATGCCGATGGGAGCGACCGGTTCGATATTCAAACATTTAACTGGACCGTTTTTCATTGTTGTTTTTAATAGCTTGCAGAGTTGCCAGTTAAACATCGTCGTGTGTGCTTTTTATTAATTTTTAATTCACAGGTATTTAGTTTAGTTTTTAGTTGTCTCCTGCACTGGTTTGTGTCGCATTAATTTTGTAAATAAGCCAGTGTTTAGTTTTGATTTTATTTGTGTTATTGTTTGTATTTATTGTTATTTATTTATTTGCTGTTACACGTTCATTGTCGTAATCCTTGATTGAAATATGATGTTAGCATGAAAATCCGTGATGTCGTTTTAAAACCAGAACACTTCAGACCATTTTCACTGCGTATAATGCTATGCTGGAACCAAATCGACCACCGCATTGACAACTTATGTTTAATTAGCTTGTTTATTCACTGCTGAAAATCGAACTAAATTTATCAAGACATTGTTTTGTGTTAGCTGTCATTCTTACGCAAAATAGACTTCATGACGACTGACTAAGGTTCATTACAGGACAGCAACCACAGCAGCAACAAGGAAAGGTGTTGACTGGTGATTTGGACTCTTCACTTGCCCAGCTGGCCAACAACCTAACCATCAATAAGACAGCCACAGCACAAAAGTGAGTGAAAATACTCCCATAGCAAAATTAAAAAAAAAAATTTTACTCCTACACTCATTGTCTTGTGCTAAAACAGTAGTTTAGAGAAGGTTCAGTCAAAAGTTTTAAGTAAATAAAGAAGTAAAGGACTATCGGTTTGGCACTCACCAGAGAGCAGCACTGTTGAGTTTGGCACTGTTAGGTCTAACAACTTTTAATGTATAATTTTGATGATGTTAGTCTGTAGACTTCAAAATTTATTCCAGTCTGTTGGTGAGTCCAAATGCTTGCCCTTACTTAACAAAAACTGCTTTACTTTCCAAGCTTGACACAACACAGTGCTTACGCAAAATACGCTAAAAATACATAAAAACATTGAAAATTGGCCCAAACAACTCAAAAAATTACGAGGTGCAAATTTGAAACTTATTGACTGAAACTTAAGCGTTAAATACGAGTGACGTAAAGTGACTATAGCTAGTTGAACGTCACGATGTCTCTTCGGATATGTCGTGACATAAGCACTTGTTTGTATTTTAATTCTGTTTTGAATTGTATATTAGCTAGGTTGCCTTTCATATTCGGATTACATAAGTAGAAACGTTAATTCGTATGAAAGATAACTTATTATGAAAACGGCACTGTCAAAATCGACATTACTGTTTTCAATCCTTGTACGGTTAATCTCACATGAGTAACAATATTTTTTTACAAAAAGCAGTTTTATAAATATTATTTTAAAGTATATTTTTTATTGTTACACCGTGCGATTGATCTTACGACGCATGTACTCACACCATTCTGGTGTCGACTAGACCGATGCAGTGGAATTCGCCGAAGAACGCGTCGAAACCCGGCCAGACGTGGACGCCGCAACCAATGCAAGCGACCACAGGAGCTGGGTACAGACCAATGGTAAGGCACACAGCTTGAAACTCGTAGTGAACTAGTTGGCAGAATTGTACACGACATATTTTCGCTTTTATATAGTAAAAACTAGTGAACATCCTAATATTAATTAAGAAAACAGATTTACTTAATTTGCACTGTTATTTATTTTTATTATTTTGTTAACGCTTCATTTTGTTAGCAAGCTCAGCTAGATAACACTCCCACGTACAAGCGTTATGGAGTGCACGATTCTGACAATAAATCTCGATTCTCCATGTACAAAATTAAAAACTGACTATAGTGTCAAAAGTGGCGCCAATTTTTATTATGGCAACACTGAATTAAATGTCAACTAAAAAGACTAAAGTGTCATAAAAGAAGGATTTTAACAAATTACCAGTAAGCAGCATTAGAGCAACTCCTGTGCAATTCTGTTGCTTTAAATGTCGCATCGTTATGCTAAATCTTTGTTTGCTTTTGAAGCTCGCTCTTTTATGTTCTTTCTTCCCGTAGCATGCCCTCCTTTTTGCGTTACAGGGCCCAGGCATGACACTCCCACCAATGCCCCATACTATGCCCCATGCATATCACCCCCCGCATTATCTTATGGTAAGTTTGCTATTTAATTTTTTGTTCCGTTTTATTTTTGTTTTGCTTTAGCGTAGTACACGCGTAGTTTAGTTTTATTTTTAGTTGAGCTGCCAAATGTGTGTGATTTGAAGACACTTTGCTTCTGTCTCGTGGAGAAGCTGATATAAAGCAATTTCTTTTTAGGATTATTGATTCCTCGGTGTTCAATTTTTCTTCAAAGTTCAGATGTTGGTTCAATGAGTTTTATGATCGGCCAGCATAACACTTTTAAATCATTAAACCAAAATCAGAAAAATAACTGGTAAATTTTCCACTTCTGTCTCTTCAGATTGAAAGACCCCGCATGTGTGAATTGGTTTGTATGATTGTATGAAACGTTTGCATGAATAGTGTTCATGTCACCTCATACATTTTCTGACGAATGTTAAGTGTTGTCATTCAGTGTGATTAATTCTGTATGAATTCTAATCTTACTGATTTCTTCTCAACCTCGATTTTTTGGCCGAATCTGTCTAGCTACGATTTTCAAAGTCGATTTTAACTTCTACCACCTTATTACAAAACAAGATTTATTTTTGTCTATGTTTAAACTATTTAGTCAGGTTTTGTATTTTGAATCTTATTCTCAGCTACCTTCAATTCGAAATACAAAAAGTGACTCAATGGGTAGACCTAAACTAAAATACCTTGTTTTGTTATAAGGCTGCTAGAGTCTTGTGTTCTTCAAAGGTTTTTGGTAGATATAGTTATCTTAACAATAAGATTTCCAACCCACAGCAACAGCCAGGCATGGTAATGGGCATGCAAGGAGCGCCTATGATGCCGATGGGCATGGCTCAACCGATGCGACCCGCCGTGCCGCCGCAGCCTACCACCAACCAATTCAGTTAAGCACCACCTTTATTACTTAAAGGTTTACGTTTTTTACAAAACCCGACTGCTCATTACACTTTTAGAACATGGGCTACGCTACAGCCATAGCGGTCCTATAAGATAAGAAGATGCCAGTATAATAAATTCGATATAATAGCAAAAAATAAAGTATTCATCTAATTAGTCAAATTTATCCAAGTATAGTTTTATTATTATTGTAATAGGTTATTATTGGAATTGAAATTATGGTAGTCTTTTTTTGTTTTGTTTTTTTCGAGCTCAATTTATATGAATTTATTTTAACGAAGAAATTTAATGAATGTCTTAGTTTTAAGCCTTGTTACTCAAGCTAATATAATAATTATACATTTTATTTGTTAGTTACTTCTACTTCTATAAATTTCTTCCTGTCTTCTTCTTTAAGGTGAAAATGCTTGATTATTTCAAGTGATACGGTGTAAAGCAGTCGGGTTATCTATGTCATGTCAGCTGACGTGTGATTGGTAGGTTCTACTTTATAAGTGCACCGTTTAGTTGCGAATTTGAATAGAACTTACGCCCTCAACATACGTTCATTATGAGTTTAAGATTGCCAGTCGAAAAAACTAGTTGTTGCAAAGTTACCCGTATTATTGATATTTTGGTGTGAAAATGATAGAATGGACATAGATCCTTGAAATTAATACACCAGTTTTTGTTTGTATAATTAATATTGAATTGAGACAAAATTATTGCAATTTTTATGAAATACATTTGGTTAAATCCAAACGATTATGATTATGAATACTTGGTTTTGTGTAGAAACTGATACGATTATGTACCTATATTAATTAATTATTATTTCGATGATTTCTTATGTTATTTTTTATTCAATAAACTTTGCGTTATTTATCTTATGAATCATGAAATATCTTATGAAAAAGGTGCGCAAGATTATTATTATTTTTTTCAAAATTATACACATCACATTCCAAACTTGTACAAAGTGAAAAATAATTTATTATGAGGTACTCTTTAACTTAGCTTATTACCTACCTTTGGCATAGTCAGTATTTATGAATTGGAATTGAAGTGAGTTCTAGTTTTTTTTTAATTTCTTTTCAGTGTTGAGCTAAAAGTGTTATATTTACTTTCAGCATCGGATGCATAAATAAATATAATGAAATCATATAGTTGTACTGGTTAGACGTCACATAGACACCCTAAATAATATTATTCTGTAACTTGATCCATATATTATGTGTATAAAAATAAATACTTGCATATTTAGTCATAAATTAAGCAAGCCTACGTGTTTTGAACGGGAATGTAATTTTACTCCGAATCCATTGTTTGGGTGAAAATGCAAATTAAAGTTCAACAATACATATTTCCATATCCTCCAGTTATGTAAAAACTGTATTTGTCATATAGTATATTATGTATAGAGGGTTATGCATTAGATTGTTATAACATTAGATGTTACGGGTGTATATTATAAATGTATGGCTGTTGTGGATATATGAACTAGGTGCTTGCTATATTAGGCCCCATTGCACGATCTAAACTTTAACACTTATGAAAAAATATCTAAAAAATCTTAAGGTCATGTCTAATGGGACCCAAAATTCGCTATGGACAATCTTTAATGCTCCAAATCGAAGCTCGTTTTGGTGTGCTAAATTGTCATTTCATAGCAATGCAAAATTATGAAAAAGAAATTGGATATTGCCAAATATATCGGAACATAAGTCTACGCCCTATCTTTATATAGTCTTAACAGTTAATAGCAATACTTTGTACAAATGTATTATTTAAAGAAAAGAAAAACCGTTCGCTTCTTGTGATATTTCATTTCTAAAGACTGCAATCCAATATTTTGAAGTATTAAAGTATGGTTTATTTTTATGAATGTTTTCTTAAATCCAACGTTTGGACAAAGTATTGTATAAAACGTTGCCATCGTTAACTCGTTCATAATAAAATTACAAAACATACGGAACACCCGTAGTTTTCGTATGGCAACACTGTCAATGTTGCTGCACTTTAATCAGTGTTACTTATAAAATATATATTCACAGGTACATGTAGATGTATAAACATGATAATTATGTATTTTAGAATAAACGCAAAATATAATATTTGAATAGCTCAGCCGTGTGATTTAATGGTGTATGTAAATATAGAAGTTGCATAGTACACAGTGCTAATTTAAACCCTTTACGTTACTTCAGCTAGCTTATTCCACTAAGGCCAGTGACCGTCTTTATTTTGTTATTACAAAATTGATTATCAGTTCTACTGCTAAAGTCAGATGGCACAGCACTTATTATAAGAAAGTCTTCATCCCAGTCCCTTCCCATCTGGTTTTAGTTGTATTTCGCAGTACAGGCTGGCTTTCTATGCGTGTTTTAGTGAGCAATGATAAAGCTAAATGTTAGGCTAGTTTGATTATCCAAATTAATGATATATGATATCATTTGCAATATGATTCAGATCTGTGAATTATTTCATCGCTTGAAATGATTGTTAATATTTATGTGCAATATTTTTTCTTTTAAAATTTTATTCATGGCAACTCTGATGTTGGAATAATCTGTTATCGTTAATGTGTACAACATTTTAATCAGAAGTTTGCTTAAGCACATTAACAGCAGTGTTCATATAATTTACAAGTATTATGATTTGAATATATTGACAAAGAAATTCCAGTGGTTTTGTAGAGGAGTTCAGTTGGCCATACTTTACTTCTTAGATGGATGCTGTGATGTCAGGTGGATTCGACTGACTTATTTGAAATAGGTGGGATTCGCTCTTAGTTAACACTATAAGTTTCTTTTTATAAGAGAATACTAGTTAAACCACAATTTTGAAATTAGTTTTAGTACTCATAGCGGCCTTTAAATTTTATAAGTTGTAAATTTTATTCATTTATTTTTATCAATGTACCTACTGAGTTACGTTTTTATGTAAATACCCCCCTTCTATGTTATTTACTAGCTCTGTCTTTAGATATTCAATTTAGTTTATTTATGAAAAGTAATAAATAAATCAATTAATATTATTTTTTTTGTTTTTTATTTTGTTTATCCCTTTGTTTTTTTAACCCAAGGGTCCAGATTGAGCCTATCCAAAAAAATGGAGATATAAGTTCAAAAAGTCGTAGAATTTTCTTTATGGTAGAATAGTTGATCGGCTATCAATAGATGGAGGAATATATTTGTCTATGTACTAGAATATTGCGTGTCTGTTTACCTCTTATTCCTATGACAATACAATAAATTATGTAATGGCCTGTATGTGTTTAAGAGTTGGTCTGTCCTAGAGAAATATGCTTGAAGCTTTGTCACTGTCCGCAGTACTACACGCGCATTCCTAGGACAGTCCAGTATTATGGTGAACCTAGTCGTATATTCAAGATCACAGTATTAAAGTAGCACTTCATAGGTGTCTATCGGAAGTTATGTATAGCTGTTAAAAACAATTAGCTCGGTAATCTGATATCACTTTTTAATTACTAAATACAATTTTCAACTTTATCACACTCTTAATAAGTGCAAAAATTATGGAAAAAAATATAGTGAAATTATTAATAACCATGATTCAATAGTTTTGATGAATGTATACGAATGTATTTAGTAATTAGGAATGTGGTGTATCGAAAAATATATTTTTGTTAGGAGTGAAGTGTTCTCTCTCGTACGAACAATAATTTATTGTAACTTCTAAAGCTTTTGAAAGTTGTGTACTTATCTTGTTGAATCTCAAATAGTGGGGCGATTGATCTATCTATAAACACAATAAATTAATAAAAGTTATCCACTGGTGTTTTATTGCTCCTTCAATTTTTTATTATTGCCAATGCCAATAGTAATAAGTGCGTCATTCACTTTCGATTGTTATTTTAGCGGATAAGTGGGCAAACGTACAAACGGATCACCTGATGGGTAGCAATCTACCCATGGACACCTACAACATCGGGGGGTTAATGAGAAGGAGAAACGGATAGAACCTGATAATGAAAACAAAACAATAAATTAAAGAGTGCTAAAAAACCAGGCTGTTATTTTTTTCAATACCCCGGTGTTTTATGCAAGTTTAAAATAATTATGAGATTTTGGCTAGCTCAGTCGAGACAGTCTACCTTTTGCAAATAGGAAAATAATTAAAGGGGTAGACACCTACCTCGATTACCCAAAAGTGTAAAACTGATCAGAGTTTTCAGTAGGTTTAAAGAATAGTACGGTTTTAGCTCCCAGATTACGAGTCTTACAGTTTGTTTTAGGTAGGGCCGGCCTGTTCCAGGCACCTTGTCCTAAAGAGCGTCTAAATGCTTTAAAATTGGAAGTATGATTTTAGAAGTTATCAAAATTTTTTTATTTCTAATATTCTAGTCAACCGTAGACGGTATTGCGCCTGAAGGCCACAATATAGTTAAGAGCTTCGCGTTGCACACTTACTTTGCACACACAATTGGTATCGGTATTAAGGTATATATTATTATTATGAGCAAAAAGGAGATGCGCCTCTTATTTTTTATTTTGGTATTGCGAGGGGATAGGCATAATATGACTTCTTCCACCTAGGTCGGGGCGAGACCGCGAGAGGGAATGTCAGACTCTTCCTGACTAAAAACTACTACGTTTGCTCTTCTGCTCCAGACCCAGGCTGCGGTACAATATTGACCTGTACATAAGCCTGTCTGAACTACAGCCCCTTTGGGTCCTATCTGTGATGTGCGGTGGCTGGGCCGTGAGGACTACCTACCTGTTCTACTGTAATTCCCTTACGCCCCATAATTAGCCTTTGCTCCATCATAAAATTCATTTTGAGCCTGTGCAAGGTATCAATTTTCGGGAAAAAGAAAGTATGAAATAGGGCTGTAAACTAATTTTATAAAAACGTAATGAATACCTATTTTGTTTATGTGTTGGAACTTGCAGCATTATGGAGGTCCCGCTGGACAGAATAAGAAATGTTGAAAAGTATTTTTAACTAAATATTGTCTGTTTAGTAAACGTGAGAAAAGATTGGACACAACTCAAAATTTAACAAGTGTTATCTACGCTTACACCAAATATTTGACTGCTAAACCATGTGTATTAGAGTGGGTACAGTTACAACTTAACAATGACCTATACTACAATACATACTTACTTATATTAGAGAATTTACTCAAGAAACTATTTGATTGAGAAAATGTTATTGTTTTCAAGTAACTATCATGATATCTTGTTGCATTAAAATTAACTGTTAAAAATATAATTCGCCAAGAAAAGAACACCCAAAAAGTCAGAAACTTTATTTGAACGCAGTCATTTAGCATGTGTGATTGTGTGAACGCAGCTATGTTATTCTATTTTTTAGTGCAAGCAACACAACATAAAATCAATCGATGACAGCGACGGATTTTCCTTTGGAAGTCGCTGACGACATTTTGTCAATAAATTGTAAAATTCAATAGGATTTTGTAAAGTTTTTGTAGTGTTTAGTGTTAAAATAAGCCACTAAGATGGCAGATAATGAACAGAAAGCTATGCAATTAATGGCCGAGGCGGAGAAGAAGCTGAGTTCTTCGAAAACTTTCTTTGGATCACTTTTCGGGTGAGGACAATGAGTTTTCTAATTATATTGTTTATATTGGCACAATTACGACCTAATTGGTTTTATTACAGCTTTATATACGACTGTATTAGTCGTTAATGTTAAATTGGCAAATTCAAAATTCGTAATATTAAAGTATCTTAGAAAAAATCTCCTTTCATTGTTACATACTCAGTACCTATGTCTACCTTTTCTAATTGAAAGTACTGTGTTGACGTGAATTTTATTTGCAATTTAGCATGGCTACAATATTCTATTTTGTATATACAGTGTATTATTGTATTTACAGTGAAATAACCATGCACTAAGTACATTGAAATGTGTGAAACTAATTCAAAGACGATATTATGACTAACTAGGTATTATCTATGATTCACTAGCAAAATATGAGATTTGGTTTAGAAAAATACACTTTATGTTAACTCTAAAGTTATGAACACCAAGCATGAAATGAGTAAATACAATGAAACAGTTATGAAAAATACAATATTATCAGACTAAGATTCCATGAAAATGAAATCAGCTGATGTGGGCTAACTGTTAATCTGTTTATACCAATTTAGACCTTATCACCTTTTTATTGTTCCCATTTACAATAATAGTTCAAGAAAGACATAATTTGGAAAACAATGATATGCAAGACCTTCTCTAAAATTAAATACATATTTTGCAGTTAAATTGAATAAAAATCATGTTTCATTTTTGCAGAACTAAATGTCACATGTTTTAGTGTCACACTGTATATAAAAACCTGAATCACATACAAAGTACTATTTTATAGACATATGATATAGAATTGGAGATACAACTTCCGTTAAATAAGGTTTTGTACAGAATTATTACCTAGTAAAACATACATAATTCATATTACACACATGGATAATATTATAGTACTTGAAGAATCTGTTTTCAATGTAACAATACTCCACCAGACAACCAGTCTCCTAGTTTGCCACTTATTTAATTAGAAAAGTATTATTCCTATAAAAAAGAAAAATTCTTTGCATATAATATTATATGCAAAGAATTTTTCAAATAGTTTAAATAGTTTCATAACCTATGGAATGCAAATAAACAAACAAATCTTTTATCTTTATATTGTTGGTTGAGATATTAGAGACCATTTAAAAACATTAATGTACATTAATCTAAGCATATTTTATACAATATAGTGTTGGCCTCAAAAGATATTTTATTACATTTACATAATGAATTATGTAATGTATGGTATTGGCTCAAAAACAATCCTTGAAACTGAATTCAATAAGTGTGTTTACACTTTGTTAGTTAGAACCTTATGTGCTAAATATATTAATGCCTCTCCGATGGAATCTTACTAGTTGATGCTGTGAGTTGTTTCAGAAATGGATTTTTATTGCTATAATATGCATCCTTATTGCTACTAACAATTCAACTCTTAATTTATTATAAGATTGGGCAGCAAATGATCACAAACGTCAGCCTTATGGTAAGCAATTGGTCCCATCCAAGGGCATCTGCAACACATAAAAAGTTGCAAACTTATTGCCAACCTTCTGGGAGTTAGGTATTAGGATTGGGAAATGGAGTGCGGATGATACACACCGGTTGTCTGTGAGCTTATGGTAACAGTCTGGTTGAATGGGCCCAGTTGAGCCGAAGCATTTATCTTCCACATTTAGATATCTTATCAAAATCTTTTCTCATAGGGAAGCATTGTCATAGGCAAGTTTTCATTGATGTCTACATCATCAAGACCAGCTGTTTATGGAGAATGAGTCCTATATTCATCAAAATGTTTTTTTTAATTAATGTTACTTTTAGTTAGTTTGTAATTCATATTAAGTGTACTGGGTGTCCCTTAGCCTGAAGACAATGACTGTCTGTAATTTTTTACTGAATAAGGATTAGGCGTCTGATTTTGGGATATAACAACTATGCTTTTTTACAGTGGTTCATCGAAGGTCGAGGAGGCAGTGGATTGCTACCTTCGGGCGGCGAACCTGTTCAAAATGGCGAAGAAATGGGCGCAAGCTGGCCAGGCGTTCTGCGCTGCTGCTAACCTCCACCTGAAGGCAGGCGTCCGTCACGATGCAGCCACCAACTACGTCGACGCTTCAAATTGTTACAAGAAGTGCGATCCTAATGGTAAGTGGATTTGTAGTATTTTAACAAGAAAAAATAGGTACCAAATGCCTGCCCACTACGAACTAAAAAAATCGTTGCTTCAAAGTTTTTTAAAGATAAAGTTGTACCGTATTCTGAAAATATAATACTAGATTGAGGTGAAATTGCTATCACGGTCAGAACAACCTCTGTCGGGACGACCAGTATCCCAAGAGACTGCATCTCTGCACAGAACAATTTGGTTTAAAAATTTTGATGAGTTACGTCCATCAAGAAATCACTCCAAACTTTTATTCAACAAAACAAACTCGAAAAGAAGTGTATAAAAAGTGAACTGTCACTTACAACGACCAGACGACCTTTGAAAGGAGAGAATATTGATTAAGAAATTAGAATTCCAGTTTTTCTAACAAAGAGAAATCTGCAAGAGATCTTTACCTCACTAATTTGACCTATTTACCACTATTCTGACTATCAGTTTTTACTTTTGTCAAGTCATTAACCACACAATATCAGCATCAGGAAGTCAGTTCAGCCAAGCAAGACGTTTGCATGCTACCAAATAACTACATGACATTGCGAAAAGTAACTTTTTGTTTTAAGACTTAAAATTAGGTTTTCAAAGGGCTAACATTGAGTGTGATTGATGTCGTGTTTGTAATTTGTAAACGTGTGTAATTTAAATGCACAACGAAACTAGTTAAACACAAAATTATTTCAAGGTTATCACATTTTTATCATTATAACAGTACAACAATTACCTACTGTTGAACAGTTTACTTATGTTCCTATTTCAATTCATTAATCCCTAATGTAGTGATTAAAATTGCAGATTTAGCATGAAATAGTGAATAAATACGTTTCCTATTATGCCTATTTGCTATTATAATAACGTCAATATCAGTAATTAAGGTACAAGTCTATTAAAGTTTGAATTAACTAACATCGCTCCAATGGTTCGCTAATTTCAGCTTGTAGTAATTCAGACTGACATGCGGTATGGAAAACCGATACGTAAACTGTGTTACACCGTTTATTTGTTTATCGGATCGAGTTCAATAACTACGAGGCTATTAAATATAACTAGCTTCTAGGCTTTTTTTTATTTGGTTTAAATATAAAAGAGCCTTAATATTTCAGAGAAAAAGCGTATAGGTAACAAAGTAAAAAAAAAACATTAAACCATAAACTGGTACATATGATCAAAATCGTTCTTTGACGTCAAAATAGAGTAATCTGTCTTTCTGTTTATCAATTGAAGCTAGGTGCTACCGACATGGAAGGAAGGCAACGCTATTTTTAAATATTATTCCAAAAGCGACCAAAAGCGTTCCAAAGTTATTATCAGCCAGAAGACTTATTGTTAAAGAAATGTCGACACTAGAGGGAGTGTCAGACTCTTGACTGAATAAAACCCTCCCATTCCTTTTCTTGTTGCAAGCGTTGGCCGTGGTACCTTATTGCGCTTTGCCCCGCATCTTCGGCTGATCATCGGCCCTATTTGTCTGCATCCGTGGTTGTCTATTGGCTCTTTGAGGCGCGGCTCTTGGGTCTTGCCTGGGCGAGCTACCCTTGCTTGTCGTCCGCAGACCCAGTGCTATCCACGTAAAAATAAGACTGTTAACTTTCAGTTGACGTTTTAGGACATATTCGAGTCTCAAACATGAGCCATATTTTACCCAAGCGCCATACTAATATACAGCGTACTAAAGAAAAGTAACACTTTTCTGTTGTTTGTTTTTAGACCATGTGTTGATTTTATCACTTCTCCGACCATTGTTACGTAGTACGGCTTTCAGTTCATAGGTCAGACAGGCGTAACGACTTTTCGTTTTGTTGTCGACTGTTTTTTTTTTTTGCAAAAGTCAGTTTTGTTTTTTTTTTTGTATTTGGCAAGAATACTTTTTTGGATGTACCTACATATTGTCTGGTTGCAGGGTGTTTGACAATAATTAAGCCTTATTTAATAAAAACCTCTTCTCCCTTAGAGACTTATTACATAGCGAACGAAAAATGTGTTCGGGAATGCGCCACTTTTAAATCTTGATTGGCCTTAGAATGTCAATTAGGTCCATAAGAGTCGCTACAAAACCCCCATATTATGTAATCTTTTGCGGAATTTGTGTGCACGACGCCGTAGACATTTTTTCTGGTGTCTTGGGTGTCCATGGGCAGCGCTGATTGCTTCTCTTCTCTGAGTTATCTGTCTGACCTCTTACTTCTAATTTTCTGTCCAATAAAAATGGCAAAATGCTCATACGTAGCTATCTTGTAAAATAACTCAACGTCTCTTTAGCTTCCATCCTATAGAGAAGATACAGTATGTATAGTATAAATAATTACTTATATCGATACGGTATCATTAACATGTTGTTAACATATATACAGTGGTCGAGCTGTCGCTCAGCTTGATAAGATATTGATCTCGTTTGAAGTAGCACGCCATGTGAGCTTCACTGTTTTCGAAGTAGTGTCACAGGTAAGCCTGCTAGTTTAAAAAGGTAATTTTGACCTTCAAGAAACAAGGGTCATTGCGCCTGTGATTCCTGGTGATGCGAATGTCCATGGGCGGCGCTGATCACATACCATTTGGTTATTCGTCTGCTCGTGAAAACTTGAAAACATGGCCCGATGTCTACTAACACCACCCTTTAGTTGTCGTCTGTAAGAGAATGCTTAAGGCATTTAGGTCATTATTAGTGAATTGGCGACCTAAATGTCGGGTATCATTCCGGTCGAACCGCCTCTCTCACATATTCATTATTCATCTTAAATACGAAATTGTTTGTAACGCATAAATACATTGATCGTCACACGAACGAGAACAAAGGGATAGGAAAGGGGCATTGCACGACCAAGTTCAGCCCAAATTATAATTCAGAGCTCGTAATCAAACTGACTAGTTCTATTGCTCAATAGCCCAAAAATCAAAACGTTTCACCTCAAAATCAAGTCACATAACAAAAAGAAAGTCGAGACCAAACTTCGATAAATCAAACGATCCCAAAAGGCTAAATCAAATATTTTATTCAAAGCATCTTCACAAAAAAAGTAAAGCTATTCTGCCATCGAAAATAAAGTGGACGGTAAACATAATAAAAGATATTAGTTTACAAAATCAATACAAACGGAGTCTTCAGTCTAGACTGGAATTATAGACATAATCTATGCGCCTAGCATAGAATATTCTATGAAAAACACGGTCAATGTTTGTAATGTTAAGTGGGAATCATCTATACTTCTATACTAATAGCTATTATAAAGAGGTAAAATTTGTTAGTTTGTATGTAGGGGGTAATCTTTGGAACCGCTGGTCGGATTGCCAAAATTATTTCATTGATACAATGAAGCTACAATGTTCCGCGGCTAAAACATACGCGCTACGATCAAATGGAGCAGCGGGTGAAACAGCGCGATCTACTATCGCTAGTTCTTTATATTGCAGTATGTAGGTACGTATATTCCCTTTTATAGTCTAGGTCATCTACCTTCAGTGGAGGATCGGGTTCGCAAACAGACGTGCCTATTACACTTAATGTATTTACCTACTTTTTAATTGAGTTCTAGTAATTATTGGTAGCTTTATTTTTTATTTAATGTTATAGCGAGTGAGTACTTTGTCGTATTGCGTGGAATTGGGCACCAATGCTGATCTTATGGTAGTGGTTTAGGCAGAAATAGCATGATGTGCTGTGTAAGGTTACCAGGGGCCAATACTTTCCCCGCTCCCATCATCAAATCAACCAACTCTCATATCCCTAACTCCAAAATATTCGTCAACGCACTTGTATCGCCTTGATCGCCGATTGTTTACTAAATTAATATTAAAAATGCGAAAGTAACTCTGTCTGTCTGTCTTTTCTTCACGCCTAAACTACTGAACCAATTTTGGTGTTAAATTTGGTACAGATAGTTTGGAACTCGATAAAGAAGTAGTTTTAAAACAAAATATCCGCAGGATGTTACCATTCCACGCAATCAAAGTCGCGGGCAAAAGATAGCCTGGAATAAAAAGATCCTCCTCACGAAGGGGTCAGATATCGAACTTAATTATCTTCGTTTGGATAACAGGTATTAACCAGACCAAGATAATTAAATGGTTCAATGAATGAGATATCGTTGAATTTTTACCTTATAAATTGGGAGTACTAAGTTGTAATTACATATACTACGTCTTGCAAATTTAATTAAAATTTCAAACGAATTGGTCTCAAGGGTGTCGCACAAATGTCTGACACGCAGAAAGGTTACGACTACGCATTTAACTTAATTCAAAATATTATAGGCACCTATTTTTTTTTAAGCTCACATAGAACATTTGACTTGTATTTCGTTTGATTTTAATAATTTTCAGAAGTGATAAAATGATTGGTACTAGTTTTGGACTAAGGCCCATAAGCGCAATAGGGTACCGCACCCTCGACCTAGACCAGGAGAAGGAACGGGGGTTTTTTATCAGTAAGACTCAGACACGACCTCACCTTACCCCCTGGGCGAGAGAGGTAATTTGATGATTATTTCCGATGCATTTCGCTAGCATTTCTTTAACAATAAGTCTTCTGGCTGATGATGACCATCAACATCTGTATAAAGCTTATTATTTGAATTTTATTTACATTTTTTCTTTCATCAACATGCATGCATGTAATACAAAATAGAACCTTATTCTCATAGTCTTTATCGGACTGCCTACATAACATGTAGGTATTACAATCCGGATATTACCTACGTAGCACCGTCCACATTGTAGAATTTGGCCGCTCGCCAAACTGTCGTTTACTTGTCCATTTTGAACTCTTTTTTTTCTGTCTAATGACTTGAATATAAGCCTGTTTTTTTACTGTTTTGTCCTAGACTGATGTTGAGAGTCTAGACTTGTCGATGTAAACAATAGTGATATAGGCGTATCGATTTTATTGTACTTATTGGGTCTTGGATGATAGCAAACTTTTTGGCCGGGTTTGCGGATGCAAGCGCAAGAATGTGGCTCTCGGTCCAGCAGGAGAAGTAAAGGGGTGGTTTTTCGACAGTAAAAGTCTGAAACTCGTTGTCGCTCCACCTACGTAGAGGAGTAATTTAAACAAACATTAAGAATGCCCCTACCTAGTTTTCTTTCTTCTATTCTTGCATATTCTGGCAATCATTTTTGCTTCATACCTACCTAGTTCAAGAAGTTCAATAAACAGAACTGGCGAGCCTCACCGTGTTATTATTCTTTTCGTTCTTTTTGCCATTATTATTTTTGTTTTTCTTCTTAGGTTTCTATACAGACTGTGATATATGAACCTATCCTACTACCACCACAAAACCGCATTAGTGATATGCTAAACTGCTTTCCTAAAGCAGTTTCTTACGATAACTAAAATAAAAAACTAGTACTTTTACACAAGCTAGCAACTAATTTGCTTCTTGTATACATATGTCTATATCGTCTGTACATTCAAATTATATTCTGTTTTTATCCCTACGTATTTATATCTAGTTTATTAAAGGAGAAACAGTGATAGCAACATGGCGTTGTTTCGAATATTCTTATTATCGAGTTAGGTAAACTTCACCGCACTGTTATAGCGGAGTTAGAAAACTTGTGAGAACTTCGGATAGTTCTTGTCACGCCATTATCTCAGCAGTTAGTCGCTTTGACAATAATTTTCTTTGAAAGTCAGTTGAGAGTTAAATAAACTAAAGTTTTATAGTTTTCAATATGAACTAGCAAGAGTTCTGCGTAGCCAATTGCAGATAACGAACTTATTATGTTGTGACATGCTCAGATTGTGCGAGCCTATTTCAATATTTTTTGTTGTCAGGGGAAAATCGTCAAATTATTTCTCCCGCCCAGGGTAAGACGAGAGTGTCAGATTCTTACCGACTAAAAACCCCCCCGTTTCTCTCCTGCTCTGGGCCTAGGCCGCGGTGACTCATTGCGCTTAACCCGCAACCTCGGCGTTTCTATACATCTAAATTTCGAATATCTAAATCGACCATCGGCTTTTTGTCTTCTGTGTCTCTTAGATCGTTCAACAGCTAATTCGCTCACAATAATTAAGAATAACGACGCAAGCAGTTTTGTCATAAACTGATATGACAGACATCCTAGATTAACAGTGCCAAAAGCTTTGTTAGTAATAAAACTAGGCTTTGCAGGACATTTGCCAATTGGCGTAGTGCTTCATTGGCATGACACAATTAAACGTCGTCCTGCCTATAACTTTTTCATTTCTATTTGGTGTATACTATTTTATTTCTGATTTATTAAGTTTAATTTTACACTAAAAGTAAATACCAATATTTTTAAAAAGGAAAATTAATGTATTGGAAATACAAATACGATCTTATTTCCCCGCAAAGCTTTTGGTTTAAACTACATAACAGTATATTAATTTCTAACAATATAATCAATGCAATATTTTAGTATTTAGATTTACTTAGATTGAGATAAATATTTTTAGTGTAAGAGGGCCATGCTTCGGTCTCACGGTGAACCGGTGTAAAATAGGCACAGTAGCGTTGTGTTTGTCGTGTAAGTGAGGTTACCAGAGGCCCAGTCCTTTCTCTTCCCCAATCACCAATTCCTAATTCTCAAATCCTCAGTTCCCTAACTTCCCCTAAGGGCAATGTTCTTGCGTTGCGAGTGTCTGGCACCGATTTCTTACCTAACAGGTGATAAGTCTGGACGTTTGCCGCATTATACCTATCATAAAAAATATACAGTAATCCAGTCGGTGGCATGCTCCCCCTTGGGTTGCGATCCAATTCTTTCCTCGCAAATTGCTTTACATTTTCCTGTTATCCATTAACATTATTTATTTTCTAATAACCCAGTTTCCTTATAACTAATATTAAGGATTCATTATTGAGTGTTTCATATTTCATAAGCAGTTTTATTCAAGCTAGGTTTTCATTTGCATTTATATTGAGTTGTGATTCCATTTTTGGGAATTTGTTATAATAATTCAGGTTGGCACGTTTTGACGAATACGGTCTGATAGAATGGGTAGAGGTACACTACTGGTATTCTAAATGTTACATCCATTTGGTTCTTTGTTGTTCGTTTAATACAGTCCAACCAATAATTTTTGCATAGTTACTATCATAGGACATGCAATATTTTCGAAAACAACGACTTGACAACGTTGCTTCGTCGTGACTCGCTTGTAGCTCGTCTATAATTGTGACATGAAAGTAGTAGTTTCTCAGTTAATTCTAGTGAGTAAGTTGTTTCCTTCAATGAATATCTGTCATATAACTCCCTTAAACTTCCATTGCGTTATTTCACTAGACCGCTCTAACAATAAGATTGCTAACTGATTTACCAACGAAGTATCTATATTCATCTTAAAAACCTAAAACGTAAATACTATAGTAAAAATCTGCGATATTTTTGGACAGTACAACGCTATCTATCCCAACATTACATCACTTGACTCTTATCATTGCGATTGTTACTGATAACAGATGATCAACAATCAAGGTTAGGCATAACAAGGAGTTTATCTAGTAATCTGTTTACAAATTTTTTACAACGTATAGCTACTAATTAGATATTTTGAGCTAATTACAGGTATTTCAAAGTTCGTTGTAAGTACAGTACAACCTCAATAAGTTATTGCTTTTTTCGATTTGTCTTTAGCTTTCGATACTGTCACCATGATTTGAAATTTTATGTATCAAAAATCTTTATCCATGTTGGTAAGTATTCAATTGCAACTTCATCATGTAATGAATGGGCTCGCTCTTATCGCAGCGGTAAGACACCTCCTTGAGGCGTGACTAAGTAAGAACCAAACTCGAGGGGGCGTATTGTGCGTTAAGAGCCAACCGACAACCACATATGGTCCCCGGTAGAGCTGATAGCTAGTCAGGGTCGCTTGTGCAAGCGAAATAATGTACCGCAGCACTGGCCCAGAGCACTGGACAATCAATGATTTGGTGCTTCCACAAGGAGCTGTTTTAGGCCTTATTCACATTCTCCTATATTAGTGCAGTCAATTTTCTCTAGCTAAGCAGTCCATACTTCTAAAAACTGAGTCAATGTGTGCACTGTTAATTTTAACAGCTGACACTACACACTAACTTATACGGCTCGCCATGATTTTATTCTAAAACTTGGGATATTTGTTAACTTCAGACAGGCCACTTCGTGTTATTATAATGAACTGTACTTAATTAATAAACTTCTGTTACAGAGGCGGTCTCCTGTCTTCTGAAAGCAATTGAGATCTACACCGACATGGGAAGATTCACTGTAGCTGCTAAACAGCATCAGGTAAATATTTTGTCAAGTAGAACATTTTTCAGTTATTTGTTTATTGATTCTGTGCGCTTTTGTCTAAAGCGATCTGATACAAGATGTTCAGAATTTTCTGGTTTTTAAATTTGCACGATCGAAATAAGGATTTATTTTCTTCATCATTTCATTTATTCTTAAAAATGTCCGTTGTAGGCTCGGGTTCTCGAATGACAATGTTGCTACCAGAACCAAAGAATAAGGATGATCATCACACGCTTGTTTATTAAAATAAAAGCAGGTGCTATGTGCTCAAATGACCTTAAAGACGTGTATCTGTAGACACATTTATTTTGACGTTTCAGAAGTGATTGTCTGTCCATGGTTTCAAAACTAATTTTGCATAATTCTAGTATGTAAAATATGCGTTCATCGTTATTATTTCCAAGCTACAGTAATTACCTAATTCATCGTATTGGTCAGTGTTACCTTGGGACATTGAAGCTAGTTTCCGCCGATTTATGAGCGCGTCTGCTTTACGATGTTCACTTATTTCTATCGCGCGTGCCACAGAACTTGGCCTTGGTGTCTTTATGTAGTTCATTACTCTCATTAAGTACTTGATATTTAAGATGCATGTCTGGTCTAGACTACCAAGCAATATTTGTACGAAGAGAAAAAGTATTTTGATAATACAATGACAGACTTACAATGACTAACGAATCTGATGTGTACTATGTACTTAATACTTAAGAATTTAAACGCTTAAAGCTTAAACATATAAACAGAACACTAATTAATTAAGAGATATATAGCTTTGTAAGTTGATTATAAGCTAAAAGTAAGTTAACTGGCCCCTAACAGGATGATGTACTTAAGTTGAAAACTGGGGCTGATTTTTCAATGGACAGCTAAGAAAATGAAAGCAGCAATTATATTCCTCAATTAACATTTATCTGACTATTGAAATGTCGTGGTGGCCTGGAGGTTAAGGAGCCCGCTTCTCATGCATGAGGGTGTGGGTTCGAAACCTGGCAAGTACCAATGTGACTTTTTCCGAGTTATATGTACTTTCTATGATTATTTAGACACCACTGACATACGGTGAAGGTAAACATCGTGAGGAAACCTGGACTTATAATTTCTAATTGTAAGTTTGAAATCGCCAACCCGCATTGAGCAAGCGTGGTGATTAATGCTCAAACCTTCTCCGTGTGAGAAGAGGCCTTTGCTCAGCAGTGGGCACTTATAGGCTGATGATGATGATGATGACTATTGAAAAATCAGCCCTTAGTGGAATTAACCTACTTGTCTTGATGCAACTGGTGCAATAAATAAATAAATATTTGTAGAACATAGCGGAATTGTACGAGACGGAGTGCGTGGACCTGTCGCGCGCGATGCAGCACTATGAGCAAGCAGCTGACTACTTCCGCGGCGAGGAGTCCACCTCGTCGGCCAACAAGTGCATGCTCAAGCTGGCACAGTACGCTGCACAGTTGGAGCACTATGACAAAGCTATTCAGATCTATGAACAGGTTTGTAGAATGTTTTGTTAATGATCATTAAACATTTGACATGTTTTTTACAAATTCTTTAAGAAATATTATCTAAAACATTATTATAAATATTAGTTATTTTTTTCAAAACCTACCTCGTCGGTTTGCTCCTGTGTCGTGGGTTTTACAAACATACAATGTTACATACACCGGACCTGGAGAAAGAATTTGTGGATGCCGCGTCACGTTGCACGACACCCGGGTTACCAACCACCGCGTCAAGCGTGCATACTAATGTAATTGTTATAAAAACAAAACTTGAAAAAATGAAAAGAGAAAAGAAAATTTAGTGGATGATTCTTCAACATCATTTGTAAGACAGATCTGCTGTAGAACTTCTCTTTAAAAGAAATCTTTCCATTGGCAGAGTTTTATTTCAATTGGGCTATTGTGTAGTAAAACCAATTTTATAAAAGCACCAAATTGTATTGTTTATCTACTCCACTAGACTACAAACTATAATATTTAATTTTAATGTGTTTACCATTCTTTGAGAACTCTAATAACTTATCCGTTTTTGCAGATCGCCAAATCATCCCTAGACAACAGCCTACTGAAGTATAGCGCTAAGGAATACATGTTCCGTGCGGCGCTTTGCCATCTCTGCGTTGACATATTGAACGCTCAACACGCCGTCGAGAAGTACTGCGGACTCTACCCAGCCTTCGCTGATACTAGGGAGTGTAAACTGATTAAGGTTCGTTGGGATAATTCATTATCATCATCCTCATCAAACTGATCACGTCCACTGCTTGACATAAAGCATATTTTAAGCGTGTCAGAGCCAAGCTTCGGTACAAATAGGTCGACTCGATCGAAGTGATACCAGGGCCTCACAGAAAACCGGCGGGAAACAACCTCAGTGTTGTGTTTCGCCGTGTGGGTGAGGATACCATATAAGAGGAGGCACAATCTTTCCCCTTCCCCAATCCCGAAATCTCCAACTCTGTAATCCACAATACGTCGGCAACGTACCGTAACTCCTCCGTTGTTGCGGGTGTCTATGGGCGGCGCTGCTAAATGCTTACCATTAGGTAATCTGTGTACTCATTTGCCGTTCTATCACATAAAAAATTACTGATCACAATGTTCAGCTCTTCTCATCCAACCACTGCCAGCCACCCTGCGGATATTGTCAGTACACCTGTCGGCATAATTATTACTATTGCCATCTTTAAGGTCCATCCATCATCAATCATCATCACCTCAATCAACTCCTATTAAGTCTTGTCCTCTTCAATAAGGGTTCATTTCTTAATTTTAAGTCCCTTTTTTATTGGACAGTGCCCAAAAGTATTAGTTAGCCTTAAAGTTCTTGAACATATTTAATTGAAAACGTGTTATAAGTCATTTATAACATTTTGGTTGGTCACCCCTATGATGGAAAACCAGGACTCGCAAATATCAACCACGAAAACCTACAAAGCAGTTTTGTGCACCTTCATGTACTTATTACTTAAAAATAAATCTATTTTCTCTTAACTTGCAGGAATTGATCGAGCACTTGGAGGAGCAGAATGTGGACGCGTTCACCGAGGCAGTGAAGAACTACGACAGCATATCTCGACTGGATCAGTGGTATACAACGATGCTTGTGCGCATTAAGAAACAGATCAACGACAACCCCGACCTGCGTTGAGTCAGTCGCACGTCTATGCCCGCCGCACCCGTATGCGTAGCGTGAGTGGCAAGCCTTATTTCATTTATTACCATACACAAAAAACTACCTTTATTTTTCTCATTGGCAATTGTTTCGATGTTAAAAATCAGAATCTTCCACTTTTCTATAGACAGTTGATTACCGTAATAAGTGGTTTATAACCAATTTTGTTACCTATATCATGTAATACAGGATCGAATTCGTTTTAATGGGAATATCAACGTAAGTCCAACTGTTACATCTAATAGTATTACGTAAGTTAATTATAATATTTCGTTTGAGTTTCTATTAAAAATGATACGAAAAGATACATTTACCATGTCAAAATCAAAACGTGTCATGAAAATTTGACTAAGACATTGGTAATTTTCCAATCACGACAGCTGTCACTTTGACGTTGTCATGATTTTGTCTACGGTTATCCACAGAGTATAAATGGATGACCGAAGTAATCGATGCTCAATGAATGCTTGCATAACGGATAGCGGCGACGGGCGATATAATGTTTCCTTTTTTATCATAAACTCCGTAGAATATTTCATTATGCCTATTTCAATGTAACAAGTTAGACGAAACAGCGTTCGTGTCACACTATTAAAAAAAACTTATTATTTTTTTCGTAGAAATAAATTGATATAAATGTTGACTGATAGCGTTTAAAAGAGAGTAGTTTACGTGGCGGTTTTTTTGCTAGTTTAGATCCCAATTTGGGTTTTGGATTGATATTAATTGCCAAACTACCCTCAATTTTTCATAGTTTAACATTAGTTATCGTTAAACTTTCTTCGGGAGCAGACGTGTTTCGTGTTCGTATCTTTGAATTAAAATCATACTGTTGTGTTTGATAAATACTATTCTATAATTGGTTGATTTTTCGTATATTTTATTGATATTATAATACTACTAATTTGCATTTACATTCCTACATTTGTTCGTATAATCCTTTTTGTAATTAAATAGAGTGACACGGGCGCCTTGATTAAGTATTCAAGATTTAGTCAATATACTTAGAATTAAGTCGGGAGTAAAATCATTATCGAAGTCTTTTTTAATCTGTATGTTTAAACCGAAACGTTCCAATTTACGCAATACACTTATTTGAGTATATACTCTTTGTTTATATTTGTTTTTCTTGTATTGTGAGGTTGGAGTGGTTTATTGTATATATTATTGATTTAAATAACGTTAGAAGTATGCCCCTTTTAAAATTTTGTTTGATTGAGTGGTATTGCCAGACTAATAATCAATGTTTTTTTTTTTATTGGTAAGCTCTACTGAATATACGTATACCACATTCTGTAAGTGTTACGTTATTAGTATCAGATACCTTTCTCATGTCCATTCTATATTGATTTGTCTATTCTTAAGAAATAGAAGTCAAAATCGCTTGAATACTTTTTCAACTAAATTGGTGACTTCTATGTACTAGAATTATTAAATACAACAAATATTACTGCTATTACCCAGTACTTTAAGTACATTTTTGATTGGAAACAGTGTTTGGCATTACCATTCGACGATTTTATTTCCCATAAACAGCAAATGTGATGGGGCCTATTCTCATTTAGATTTAATAAATAATATTTATAACATTTTATTTTGTTGTTGTAAATAAGACTTGTTTCGTTAATAAATTTTATATTTTTAATTTCATTTTTTATTTTTATTTTTTTATTTCACCCTTTTGTTTTTTTTTTTTGGTGTTAGTATAGTTATGTTGGGTGCGAAATAAATTAAGTGATTCCAAAAAGGAACCAACAGGAACTATTATCATTATGGTTCTTTGTTTTCGTGGTGATTTGAAAAGTAATGAAAGTTTTCATTCGGCGTTAAACATTTATAAATAAATAACAATCACATACAAATGTGTTTTATGTATGACACATTAACAGTTTTAGAATATCTAAATAATATATTTCCTGTGTGTTATTTAAATCAAACGCTTTGGTGTCGACAACATTTTTATAATAATGTGTACTAAATAGTGTATTAGTGAACCTGTAAAACAAATAATAAAATAATTTTTGAAAAAGAGTAACTATTGAGTTTCTGACAGACTGACAATAAACTATTTTATTTTGACGTTCCAAAACTACCTATTTATGGTTTAGTTGGAATAAATTAATTTGACTTTGGCTATATGACTGCAGAGACTTAAAACTTCAGTGGCGCCATCTGCTAAATGCAGAAACGAAAACTTTCATTATATTCAAACTTTACGTGACATCCAAGAACAAAAGCGTCTAACATAACTATGCTAAAGTTGAAATACTGCGATCACACTACGATATACATTTTTTCTTACTTAAGAAAAAAAACAGACGGAAGACAAAATTGTCGCGCGTGTAATTGTGTCGCAAGTCGCCTTTTGTCCCAAGAAATCATAGTGTGACCAGTATCTTATAAGCGGCTTCCGAATTTTTTAGCTAAGGTAACTTACGCACTTGCGTTTTGTCGCGAGCGCGGACTAGGTAAAATCGTACGGTAGTCAAACAGTCAGGTTTTAATTAATAGTAAGGAGTTCACTGAATATGTCTAAAATTCGCCTTAATATTAGGCTTACATTTTTGGTAAAATTATAGAGTATGCCACATCTAGTGAGACATGAAGAAATTATTATATTTTTTTTATTAAGTAACTTAATATTACATTAATTGTACGCGATATGTTTTTTACTCACCCTGTATTAAATAAGCTTGTCCATTACAAATATAAAAAACCTATATGACATAACATTCTAAAATGTCATCCAATTACATTTGGATGACATTTTGACAAGTCAAATGTCAAATTCATTACGTACAATCTAAGAATTTTATCCTTTATTATTTAAAATTATGAAAATAGAACAGACAAATTAGTATTCAAACGTTTTTTTAGCAACTATTTGGTATATCGTTTTTTTTTCTTTCACTATACATGCCGTTATTTTGAAGAAAATACACATTAAATACACAAATATACATGAATCATTAGAAATTATAAATCAATTTAAGTCAGACATTTTTTCAAAGACGTTTTTTTTATTTAGCCCAAGGTGTCGCTAGAAGTTTACATTTAAATAGCATATTGTCTGTATGTCTTTGATGTGGCATATTTTTATACAGTATAGAGTTAAAGTTTCGCAATTATCCGTAACCATAGCAACGCCAGTTATGTATCGCATTGTATGGCACACTGATATTCGTTTAAATAATGTAAAAAATAAAGTGTTAATACAAAAAACGAAATGGGTTTCATTTTCTTTCCCTTTTAAAGATTACGTCTCCGGTAATCTCAATCACACGGTGAAACATGACAACGTGGTTTCACGCCGGTGTTCTGTGACGTCATGGTATCACTGCGGTCGAGCCGGCCCAATCGTGCCGAAGCATGGCTCTTCCACACTTTTTGCTCATCAGTGAGCACTATAGGTTGGTGATGATGTTTTTGCGGTGGTATTTATTATCCTGATCGAGCAGGCTCATTCATGAGGAGCATGAATCACTCACGTGTCTTATCGAATACATAGTAAAAAAGACTAATCGAGAACGAAAAAAAGAAATAATAAATGTAATTATGCCAGTAATCGTACTTTTACCACTAGAGCAACGGTCCAGTCTGATACATTATTTATTTATGACAACTTTGCATACATTAACTTTTTAACGTTACCTAATTTAATTTTGTTTTTATGAACTGAAATCGATTATTTATTGTCTGCCTTAGTTTTCAAATGATTTTTTTTTTGTAAATCGATTGACAAAATGCAGGTTCTTAGTAAATTATGTAATTACTTATGTGTGTGTTTGACAGTTATTTTCCCGCGATTGTTCTGTTGTTTGAAAATTCTCAGTAATAACACGGGTAGTTGGTATTATTAATTTTTATTTATTACTTTATTTCAGATATTTGTGGCACATATAAAATTATAAGTATAAGTAAGTAGACAAGGCTATGTATAAAACTAAACAAAACGAGTTTATCTTTGTCCCATTTCGTATGATATTATACAACGTAGGTACTTTGGGCATAAAGGTAAAAGAATAAAAAAATATATTAAAATAGATTATGCCGTGCGTAGTAGTAGTTAGAACTATTCTTCGGCGCGAATGGCCCGACGTGACCAGCTTCATACCACGGCCTCACAGAATACCGGTGTGAAAGTGAGGTAACCGGAGGCCCGACCCTTCACCCCACCATCCTTCCCCCATCCCTAAATCTTTAATACCCTAATTTCCAAAAGGCCGGCAACGAACTCTTCTAGCGTTGTGAGTGTCCAAGGGTGACGCTGAATGCTTACCATCAGGTGATATCAGTCAGCTCGTTTGCCGATCTACTATTATAAATATTATTATATACACATTTGAACAAACTCATCAGCTTTACAATATTAATTAAGCCCGTCACTGTCACGATCAGGTTTCCAAATACCATACAAAAAAAAAAAAAAAAAATTGCAAAACTGGTCCAGGCGCTGTTGATTAATGCGCTTACCAATATTTTGCAACCGCAATGGCGACGGCCCTCGGGGCAGAAGATGGAAAAAGTTGGGTTTTAGTCAGTAAGAGTCTGACACCCCTTCTTGCCCCACTCAGAGCGGGATGCGGGATTCATTCGATGATTTATTCCCCTTCAAAAAAGCGACTGCTGACTGACATGTCCATCCCCGAAAGAGTGAGAGAGAAAACAGTTTGCTATGTGCAATGCGAAGACGTGACGTCACTCACTAATACATATTTATTTATTCTCGAAATTCAAATTTAAAAATAGGTAACAAAAGATTTTTTTATTGTAATTCAAATGTGTTTTTTTAAAAGGAGGTATTTTTATTTCCTTGAAGTGTTGATAAGGATCGCCGAGTGAGGTAATTGCAGGTCAAATTATCATCACAGTTGAGGTTATCTGCCATCTCAACTATTTTAAATAGGTATGACTTATAGACACAAGTACATAAATAGAAGCTATTATAGAATTTCAACCAAATCGCCAAGGTGTAAGAGTGAAAATGTATTAGCAATTTTGAATTAGACGTGCTTGTGTCTACATATTTTTTTCCTTTTTTCGTGCACTGAAATGGAAAGTTAGGAGAAATATTTTTTCTAGAAGGTTGTTCTATTTTTGTTTCTTGTTTAAAATAATATGTTATAGGTTACTAACATTATGAATTCTGTAAGATGGGACGTGTTGTAATAGGTATATGAGTAGACTCTTAACTATATGTATATTTATATTTTATTTTACCAACTGGGAAGGTTCAGTTACCGCTGTGTTTCGCCTCTATTGAATACAAACGATTTCAAGAGAAGAATCCGATATTGTAGGTATAACAGGCTTAGCAAATAGAATGACGGAGTCACTCTACCAGTTTCAGGCCACAAAAGGGACCTATAATATGGGCGACAGCGTTCTTTGGTAAACCTGATCCTTTTAAACTGGCATATCGAACTCACTTGCCGAGAACGGGGATTTTTTTTATTTCGTAATAGCCTTACCCTTAGCCTCCGTAACCTTAGACCGCTATCACGCCTGGTGGTAAACGATAATGCGACCTATGATGGATCATGCCTACCCATAACCAACCTATTCATTCGGGCCTTGAAGACACCCAGGCTATACCGATCGGGGAACACAGACTCCGGCAAAGAATTCCGCTTCTTAGCGGTTCGGATTATGGCGACTTTCCTTTTGTAGAAAGAGGGCGCTGCACTTCCACGGGCTGGTGATAACGATGATGAGTGTTTGAGATTATCGCGTTCAAACAAACTATTTTTAACATAAGCATTATCGATTTATTGCATATATTATATGTGTACATTATTCAAAGGCTTGCCACGATCATTATCGACTTTATTCGGGGACTTGTGGTAACCGTATAGATGTAGTTCCTCCAAACCGCTCTTCAAAGTTTTGTCCTGGGCGCTGTGAGACTCGTGCATATTATGGTGTTTTTGTTTCTTCCGTTTTTTGATTTTTTTCATTTCATCTACATATGAGCTTGAATCTTCACAGCTATCAGAATTTTCGATGTTGCCTACGCTCATGGCAGGAATTTTAGATCCAGCTTCATCGCTGTTCGGGTCTTTCGGGTTAACATCTTCCTCTACCAGTTGTTGGTACAAGTCTTTGAATACCTTCGACAGTCGGCTGCCCAGTTCCACTTTACCCGAGACCTTGACTGAGTACGCTTCGGTTAGTGAAATACCTGGAATTAAAACTTTTTGGCTTATTCTGTGAATCATTTTTTGGGTGAATGAAGAATTTTCACAATTCTATTTAATTTTCAGCTCATCCCATAAGTGCTCACTAAGTCACTACTACTACTACGTAGTCCAACTAGTCAAAATCAATACTTTTATCCAAATGTCAAAAACGATACTTTTGACGTTAGAAAAACTGAGTTATGACGTCATAGTATTATTGCGTCAACTAGCATACTTATTTCTCAATAATTAGCTAAAAATATCTGAAACTTAATGTATCGATCGATCGATGAATAAAACTATATTAATATTTCAATATTTTATTGTATTGAAACGTCCTATTAATTTATTTTTGACCTAGGAAACTACCCAATTGTAGAATATTGTAAAATTACTACAGGTGTAATAAAAATGGATCGCAAAATATATTGTTAAGCGCATAACTCAACAACGCCTGGACCATTTTTGCTAATTTTTTTTTGTTGTTTTTGTTATTGTCAGGAGAAGGTTTTTATCAAAGAAAATATTAGAAAAGTAGAGGGGAAGATTAGGAAAAGTGTACCTTTTGATAGCGAGAAGCGGGGGCGGGCCGCTAGTTATTAAAAAAAACAAATCTTACCATACAATAAGATACATATACGATACATTTTCTTCACTCGAACTTGTGTAATGAACAAGTAATACCAAAAAGCAATTACTTATCTTAATTACTTCGTTTAAATTAACAGCAAGTAGTTAAACGTTTACTATGTACGTAGATGCATTGATTAGACGATAAAAATGGCAAAGAATTTGCAAAATATGCTTTAAGGTTTAGCTTAGAACCAAAATGACAAACATACCTTCAAAAATAACTTACTACTTCTCTTAAAAGTTCTTAATAAGTTGATAATATTTCTAGAGACGCGGTAGCGGGTCAAGCCAAGTTCAAGAAACAGAACTGGCCGCACCGTATATTATATTATACGAACCATTTCGAGCCACTTTTATTGCTGTTTTATATATTTTTTGAACACTCTATCATAATCAGGGAAGTTTTAATATCTTGACGGATTGAAGAAGCCGGGGGTAAGCGCAATGAGGCACCGCGACCTCGGCTTAGAGCAGGAGAAGGAACGGGGGGTTTTTAGTCAGTAAGAGTCTGACACTCCCTTCCGCCCAACCCTGGGCGGGAGAAGTCATTTGATGATTTTCCCCTTAAAAAAAACGGGTTGTAGAAGCATAGCTAGTAGCAATATGCGTGCAACAACCAAAGACAGTTTGGCTAAACTCGTGAATGTCCCAAATCACGTGTACTACTTCAAAATTATCGAAATTCACGAAATCAATTTATACTTTATCGTTTTGGAATAAAGTAGATAATGTAATGGATATATTGGGTTTAGCTTGAGGTGCTATTGTGTATATTCGCGGGCTAGTTAAGTCACGTGCTAAGCAAGCGTGTGAGGGCAAATGTCGTCTGTGTTTGAATATGTAGTGGCAGCACATTTGAAGAGGTATAACACGCTTGTTTCAGTTCTACAATAGTTTTGATGTACAACATAACATATGCAAAACGTTTAGTTCGGTGGAAAATTGTTCGATGTATTCGTTTTGCGGGACAGATTTGACAAATAAAAGCTATTTTTTTTATACCCATTTGTCATGCCTATTGCATCATATTGATAATAATATAATTACCATCTCATTGAACATATTAGGCCACATTTATTTTGATAAGTAATTTGAATATAGAGCACAGAATGACTCTGTGTTATTGAAATGAAAATTTTATCTATATTTTATAATAATAATAAAGAGGTAAAATTTGTAAGTTTGTATGTAGGGGGTAATCTTTGGAACCGCTGGTCGGATTGCCAAAATTCTTTCACTGATAGATAGCTGCAATGTTTCTGAGTGCTATAGGCTATAAAACATCACGCTACGATCAAATAGAGCCGAGCAGCGGGTGAAACCGCGTGAGAGTAGCTAGCATCTAAGAAACTTGATGAGGTTTTGTCGTATATGATATGTGTATGAGTATGTATATCGATCAATGGACCATATTCTCGACAAACAGAACTCGAAAAACATAAATTTTCTACTTTAAAAATATCTTCTAATTTATTTTGTCGCGTATTCGTGTTACTGACGGTGCCTTCTGTGTTTCGGTGTTTTCATGTCAATATCTTCTGTTTACAGGAATTGCAGTGATTTGAGGAGGTAGTGGTGGTATTGTTACGTTAACCGCCGCGTATGTTACGGTAGCGGAGGATTTCCCTTCAATAGTTTTCCATGGGCAGTTAAAGTCTAAATACATATGTCGTTTAGCAGCTTTTCTTAAGGTGGAAAATTACCACCTCGTTCATTTTCTTGCTCCAGGCCGAGGCCTGCTTTATGTAGTTAGAAGCTGTTGTTAAAAATTTGTATTCTTCTTGACTTATAAAAGTGTTATTATTGAGCTATTTATTATGCGGATAATTATCATTACTACGTAACATGTAGGTATTTACTTGACGATTTTTTTTCTATTTTTATGTGATAGGCAGCAAAGAGTTCTACGAACATACAGATCGATGCCATGCATGGACACCCGAAAACCCCAGAGGAGTAACGGGTGTCCTGGAGGCCTTTTAGGGATTAGGGTTTCGGAGATTTAGGATTGGGGAGGGATGGGATGAGGAAGAAGGATTGGGCTACAGGTAACCTCGCTCCATGGAGGATATAATCGTCATTGTGTCGCTCAGACGGCGAAACACAACGCTGTGGTTGTTAAACGCTGTCACCGTAAGGCCGTGGTATTACTATGCTCGAGTCGGCTCATTTGTGTCGAAACATGGCTGTTCCACACTTGAAACTTTGGTTTAGCAACTTTTAAATACTATTACTATACTAATAATGTTTAATACTTCACTTTGGAGTAGACGTTACTTTCATTTAAATTACTTGTCGGTTCAAAGCGTATGAATGATATTCATGAGATTTTCAATAAAGAGTCTGAAAGCTTCCTCATTTTTATTATAACTTTCGTGAGACATTCTAAATTATTTATTATGTTTTCGGCTTACTCACGTAATATTTGACATTGACGAGATACTCGACTAGTTTCTAGCATGGCTTGAAACTAGTCGAGTATCTCGTCAAATTATTACGTGAGTAAGCCGAAAACATAATAAATAGCTTCCTCATTAATAAATAAAGTGAAAATCACACAAACATCCGTTCAGTAAAACATTTTTTAAATACATACAAGGAAAAATATACAAATACACCTAGGTAGGTACTTATAAAAATGTATTTTTATTATATTGTATATTTTTTTTACGCTAAACCCGTCGAATGAATTTATTTTCATATCATCAGCAAAATATATTCATTATTTGGACATAATCATTACAAAAATCCAAAAATATTTACACTTTGACGAAAGACCAATGAAAATGGGTGTACCGCAAGGTTCCATTTTGGGCCCTTTGCTATTCTGAATTGGTAATAAATTATTTATTTATAATCAACCTTTTTGTTTAATATAAAAAAACATGCTTATAGCTTACAGGTTATTTGCGTGTATAATTGACAGACATTACATCGGCGACTGCAACGTGGACTAAAGGTCGAGAAGACAAGCGATTATTTATTATCATTTATATGAGGAACAATTCATAATAGGAGGCACTAAAATTATTACATAATTGGTTTACAAGGCTATCAAAGGATTTATTTAGATACACATAAATATTTTGAAGGTTGTGGTGGCCCGGAGGTTAAGGAGCCCGCTTATCATGCATGAGGTTGTGGGTTCGAAACCTAGCAAGTACAAATGTGACTTTTTCCAAGTTTATGTACTTTCTATGATTATTTAGACACCACTGATAAACGGTGAAGGTAAACATCGTGAGGAAACCTGGACTTATAAATTCTAATTATAAGTATGAAATCGCCAACCCGCATTGAGCAAGCGTGGTGATTAATGCTCAAACCTTCTCCGTGTGAGAAGAGGCCTTTGCTCAGCAGTGGGCACTTATAGGCTGATGATGATGATGATGATGATGAAATATTTTGGATATGAAAGAAAAGATTACCTACATTATATTTCATCCTATAGATATTGCCTAAATTATTAATATATATTATACTATAATTTAAAATGCCTACCTAATTAACTTAACATTCTTGGCAGCTGACCTATATGAGGGTGACTAATGCTAATGGTTCACTTAATTGGGGAATCTAGAAAATAATATTAGTTAGATAATTGCAGTTTTTCATCTGAAACGTTTAAAATAGCGAATCAAAAACACCATAAATTTTGGCTGTAACCACCCTAAACTTACTAAAACTACACTGCGCAATGCGTATTTTATAATCAGATAAAGCGGGAGTTTTCCAGATAATCTACTATATACTAATACTATAAAGATGTAAAATTTGTAAGTTCGTAAGTTAGTACGTAGGGGGTAATCTTTAGAACCACTGGTCGGATTCCCAAAATTCTTTCACTTATTGATAGCTACAATATTCCCCGTGCTATTAGGCTATAAAACATCACGCTATAATCAAATGGGGCCGAGCAGCGAGTGAAACCTCGACGAAGTAGCTAGTAAGCAATAAAAGCAATTGCAAAGATTGGGCTACCGGTAACTTCACTTACATCACACGGCAAATCATAACGCTGTGTTTGTTTCACGCCATTTTTCTGTGAGGCCTTGGCCGTGACTGAAGTGTTTCCACGCCGTTTGATTCGTGTTAGAGCTTGTCTCTCCCACACTTAAAACAGCATGTCATTTGTTAAGTAATGATGATCGAGCTTAGTCCAACAGACCTCGGAAAAAATAATTGTGAAAATGAAAAATAAACCCAACCAATCGCAACAACCTCGATAATCAAGTTTAGAAATACTCGTAAAAACAAAGCGTCAATTAAATTATTATAACAAGATATAAAAGTACAATTACGTACGTATTTACAGATGTTAATGAGAGGTCTTAAGTCATACGGTTGTTTGAGCCGACATAAAACGATGTGGAAGCTGACGTTAAGGCTTTATTTCTTAGTATAGC